ATATTCAACACATTCTTCACGTATACCTCTTACACAATATGTATTTGGTCTATAGTTGACCTCTTTGGTCTGAAGCCACATTGGTATTCACCAATCATCACCTCCGAAAACGATTCCAGGCGGCTGTATATAATTCCTGATAATATCTTGTAGACGACATTTAGAACTGTTATGCCCTATAATTTTTGCAGAGGTGTTTGTTTCCTCCTTTGTACATAGGAAGTATGATTCTTACTTTCCAGTCTTCTGGAATGACTTCTAGTGGTCATATGCGATCGATTGGTTTATGGATACGCCTCCTTAGTGCATGTCTACGATGTCTTTATCAGTTCTGCGGTTATTCCATCTGTGACGGGTGCTTTGTTATTTTTTAGATGTTTTATGACGTTTATCCTTTCTTCCAATGCTGGTTGCTCAACTGGTTGTTCTGCTGTGTGGTGAATTATTTCTTCATCTTAGTTTTGTTCTTTTTCTGGGTTTAACAGCTCTTGAAAATGCTCCTTCCACCATTTTATTATTTCCTCTTTCTCGCAGGTAATTGCCCCATTGTTGTCCTTGCAAACTGTTGATCTTGTTATGTATCCTTGGGTGTATTGCTTGGTTTCCTTGTAAAATTTTCTAGTCTCCCTTCTGTTAGTATAATCTGTAATTGGTTGTATTTTTCTGTTCAACATTTCTCTCTTTTTCCTTCTACATATTTTCTTTGCATCTTTTCTGAGTTCTTCATATGCCCTTCTATTCAATCGGGAATCCCTTTGTAGACATTTCTGTCTGTATATTTTTACAATTTATTACTTGTTGCAATCTTGGTGATCAAACCATTCCTCGTTTCTTTTGCTTGAGGTGTCACTTAATATTTCCTTTGCCATATTTGTAATTGTCGTTTGGATGAATTCCATAACATTATTTACACATTTATTGAAAATTAAGAGTTCTTGATTTTTTACAGTTTTCTATGCAACAAATTAGTAAATGAACATTGATAAATCGCTGTTTTAAACATGTTTTATCGGATAGTCATCTAAAATTTCATTAAAAATGTCTGAATATTTAGGGGTAGACGAAGCTATTTAAAGTGGTGCATTTTGTGCTCAAATTGTTAATAATTTGAAAAATCCATCGAACCCACTGCAGCATACATAGAGATTTTAGTTATTGAGGACCAAAATTCTCAAAAAAAAAAACTTGTCAGACTCCTGGTGTGGTCAAAGTTCACAAAATGGGACTTTTTAATTTATTTACCTTATTTTTTACTCTGTTTTTTATTGCATATTTATTATTTTAGATATTTTTTTACACTTATAGTAATATATCGCAAAAAATATCAAATCTAATTGTATAATTTTATAATCAACGGAAATAAACTATAATTAGACACATTACCTTCATGTGTGCTTCAAGTATGTCGACCAAATAACAATGCCGTTATTTATCTTATTCGCTTTGTACAAAAAGTGAAACTGCATGATTATTATTGTCTGCCGCATAATTCTTGAGATCCTCTAGTTAAGATCAGGAAGTGAGATTTAATATTTAAACTAGGAAATACTAATAAATAATCGCTTTGAACGTGATTATAATCCTTCACGTATGACATATCAAACGGAAATAATTTTATATATAACAATTCTCTCCATATTATTTAATAGAATAGAAAGGAAGTTCTATAGGTCAATACAAATTTTGAGGTGGAAAATGTAACTAAATATACTTCATCTAATTTAGATAACGACTTACGTCATTATCTACATCAGAGATCGAAGTTGACATAGTTGCCAAAATGTAAAAAAATCCTGACTCCATTTTAAATCAAATAGATTACATAATTATTGCAAAAGTATTACCATCTTTTTACAACGACTGTTTAAATTCTTACGTGACATTTTTGAAATAAAACACACTAATTTTGTTCTAAAAAGAACACATTTTATTAAATAGTTAAAAATATAAAACAAGAGATAGTCACTTTAAAATTCAAAATAATGAAGTACAAAAAGTGTCAACACCGCAACTGTCAAATAAGTGTTACCAATTTATGCCAAAATTTTACCTTCGTTCGATTACAGTTAACAGTGTGATCCGAAAAAATGTTCTTGATAAAAACGATTTATAATGCATTTATTCAAATTAAATAAAACATATTATTGTGTATTTCTTTGAGTTAACATTAATAGAAATGTTTAAATATTATTTCTACGCGTATATAATAAAATATGTCTAGTGGCTGTAATGCCAGTGTAATCGGTAAAGTGATTCTAAAAAAGAACACACCTACACCCTAAATATTTTGTGTTGGTATCATGTGATGTCACAGGCTATGACGCCGATGACGTGCATCGTTATATAAATTAGATGAAGTGTATGTTGATATGTGTAATAGAACAAATTATGTGGAAATCTCTCAAGGTTTTCTTCTTCTATAGTATAGAAGATAGGTATATATATATACAAATAACAGAGCAGGACTTATAATGGGCAATCCTCTAAGCCCATTGCGATCAGATATTTTTATGGATCATCTAAAGACAAAGATTTCAAAACATCCCGTATTTAAACAGTTTTTATATTGGTGGAGATACGTAAATGACGTACTAGTATGTTTCACAGGAACTAACAGGCAACTCGACTACTTTTTATCGTATATAAATTCACTTCATAGTCATATTGAATTTACAATAGAAACAGAATAAAATCAATCTATAAATTTTTTAGATTTAAAAATTATCAGATTTAAAAACAAACATGACTTTTCCATATTTCACAAACCTACCCATACTGACACGACTATACACAATTCATCATCCCATCCAACACAACATAAACTGGCAGCATATCATAGTATGTTACATAGATTAACAGAAATTCCGATGTCAAAATACAACTTTGAGATAGAATTAGATATAATTAAGCAAATAGCAGTAAACAACGGATACAATGAACAAACAATTAATAAAATGTTAAATCAAAAACTACACAAGAAAGCCCTGAAATTAGTATTTCCACCACCAGAGAAAAACCCAGTACTTTCTGTTCGATTAGATATACAGGCAAAATTACAACAAAAATAGCCAAACACATAAAAAAGAAAGGAATAACACCAGCTTTCCGAACAAATAACAACCTACGCAAATATATCAAAAACAACAAGAGCCAAAATAAAAAACACTTACACAGTGGTGTGTACAAACTTAAATGTGGCGACTGACCAAAAACTTACATCGGTCAAACTGGTAGAAACTTTAACAAACGAATAGCAGAACATAAAAGGGCTATCAATAATAGAAAAACAGATTCTACATACGCACTTCACCTTCTAGATCACAATCATTCTTTTAACAACGAATTTAAAATTCTTCACATTCAAAATAAAGGCCTTAAGCTATCCTTGTTAGAATCTATGGAAATCAACAAATTAAAAAACATAGATATAATTCTGAATGACCAACTCGAGACAAACAGTTCTCCCCTCCTCAACCTATTTCATTAGAGACTATAAGTGTAAACACATGCCAAAAATAGATCACTTGAGAAAGGCAATCAGCTGAAACAGCTGTAGTGATAAGAGTTAAAATGCATTTTTTTTTAAGTTTGAAAACAAAGTTTTCAGTGTTTTATTGTTACATAAAATGAATTTTCATCAAGTAACGGTCGAATCTATCAATTAGTGTAATATTTCTTCTTTTGTAATATATGAACCTATTTCTTCTGACGTAAGTTCTAAGTTCTCCAGATCTCGTCTTTCATTGCCAAACAATTCGTCGATATATTCTGCCCATCTTTGTACTTTCTCGTCCGTATGTGTTAGAGTAGTCCCGTGTCTATTCAGAATTGCACGAGTGGGATTTTGTTTTCTTAGTCCTGCCAGTTCTTTAACTTTCTTGTGTAGATTTTAGATGTAGGCTCAAGGTTTTAAATGTATTTAAATGTATGACCTAGACGAAAATTCAGAGGGTAGTGAATCTCATGTACAATATCTTATGACTGAAGAAATCAATTCACAAACTCCAAACACATCACGTTCTAACACGGCGCTTATAACATCACATGATGTCACACCGTGTTCATTAAGATCTTCTAGACTAAGAACAATAAGCTGTACTTGACAAATTCTTCAGTGTTATGTCAAACTAATAACTCGAAGTTGCAAGGAAAAATATTTGGAAAACGAGGTCCACGAAGAAGAAGAACATCTTGGTTAAAGAACCTGAGAATCTGGTTCAGTACATCTTTGTAGCTTTTCTGCGCTGTTGCAGATAAGATAAAGAGTGCCATGATGATAGCCAACCTTCGTAACAGATAGGCACATCAAGAAGAAGAAGAATGTCAAACTCAGCAGACTCTTTTGAAATCTATGAGGATTATGTGGCTGACGAATTGAGGAATACAACTTCGAAAGTTCCAAAGCTGTAATCCTGGGCGAAGTGATAAATACAGCGAATTCCAGTCCTTTTGGTATTTCAAATTCGATCATAGCCGAATATAATTAGGGTCCGTTAACCGTATCGTAAATAGCCTTAAAATCTTCTTCTAGTTCCATGACCGTTATCGATCGTTAGATATCATTTTGGCTACCATATTCGCTATCGTGACTTTATTGACAGCAGCTCTTAAAATCTACGAAGATGTAATATCGTACTTCGCTGTTTCTTCTAATATTGGTCTGATGAATGGTATGTGATCAATGGTAGCAATTATATTCAGTCGTATTAAAAACGTCTCTGTAACAATCATTTATTGAAACACTGCTGAGTAAATCTTTTGAAGCGAAACAAAAAATAAAACGAATTCAATGTTTTGTGCGGTCCTTATGGCTGTAAATCCGTCTGCGGAGTAGTACAGACAAAGTTGCGACAGATACCGAAAAAAACTTATGCGGATTCTGATTCAGAGTTCAGAGTTACGTTGGGAAAATTATGAAAGCGAAAGTTTTCACTTCTGGTTCGTAGAAAAATAGAAAAAAATACATTTATTCGCGAATTATTTGATATTTTTATTATTTTTTGACCATTTGTAAGATACTAATATCGGCGTCTTCTTTATTGCAGGTGCACAGTAGTCTTTTTTAATACCAGGACAGAACAACAAAGCCATATCATCAACACTAGCCGAAAAACCATAACTTCATTGGCATTTTCAGCATGTGGTCGATATATTGTGACAGGTATATACATTATTTTTTTAATACTGTACTAATTGCTAAAATTTTCGATTTTAATTATACGATTTATGTGCTGTTTTATATATTTCCATATTACTGTGAAAAGTTGACATTATTACGAAATTGCTATTTGTTATTTGATAAGTTGTTATCAACATTTGATATATATCAAAATATATATTTCAATTGTTACCATTAGTTAAACAATGAACAAAATCAACAATAAAATTTTAATTAATATTTTTTTGGATTATTACTCTACGAGGAATTTGTAAATGCATTTAAAATTATCAAAGGTTTATTAATTAAGATCTATAAGCCAGAAAAAAACCCAAAGAAAATGGACATGGCTTAGTCCCAATGCTGAAACTAAAAATAAAATTGATTATATTCTTTCAACGCAAAAATCCATGGTTAAAGACCTAACAGTCCTAAATCGCTTCTCAACTGGTAGCGACCATTGACTAATCCGAGTCAAGCTTATCATTGATAGTAGATTTAAAACAAGAAAGAAAATGGAAAATAATCAGAAATTATACATGGAAAAACTAAAACAAGGAAAACAGACGTAAGAAGAGAGAATAAAGGAAATATTGCCGACCAAGGAAGATATAGAACACAAACATATCGATGAAATAAATATATATTTACTGAAACTCTAATGAAAGTGGGTAAAGAAACAGCACAGAAACAACAAAAAAAGAAAGTTTCATGTCCCAGGACACAAAGATTCTTATGAACACAAGAAGAACATTACTAGAATAAGGGGACAGAAATAAAATGGAATACAAAGAAATAAACAAAGCTATTAGAAAAAATATCAAAGAGTGTAAACGGAGAGTACAGGAAGAAAAGATAGAAAAAACAATTGAAAAAAATAGAAACATGACGTGCTTAAAGCAGAACCTGGAAAACACAAATTAATAGCATAAAGAACAAAGAAGGAGTGGAGATGAACAATATAAAAGAAATTTTAGTGAAACTGCTAAAAAATAGGAGGAAAACTATAGTGGAAGTCCTTTACTTCTTCTTCTTCAAGTGCCATCTCCATCAATGGAGGTTAGCGGTTATGGTGGCAAACGTTTGTCTATCTTCAGCTGCTCTTAAGAGTTCCTCAAATCCAAGTCCTGTCCAGTTTCTGATATTACGTAACCAGGATAATTTTTTTCTTCCAATTCCTCGCTTTCCTTCTATTTTGCCTTTTATTATCAACTGAGGGCTGTAGTATTTCTCGTTGCGCAACAAATGCCCTAAATAACTGGTTTTTCTTCTTTTGACTGTTCTCAATAGTTCTTTTTCTAAATTAAGTCTAGCTAGTACTTCTTCATTTGTTTTTCGTGCTGTCCAAGGAATTTTTAAAATTCTACGGTACACCCACATTTCAAATGCCTCGATTATATTCAGGCTCTTTATTTTTAAAGTCCACGTTTCGACTCCGTAGAGGAGAACAGACCAGATAAAACAGTTTACAAGTTTTAATCTCAATTTAATATTTATATGTGTATCGCAGAATAGAACGCGCATCTTAAAGAAACTATCCCTAGCTTGAGCAATTCTCGCTTTAATTTCTTGTTCTGGGTCCAGCTTGCAATTAATCCAACAGCCAAGGTATTTGTATTGGTTTACCTGTTCTAAAATATTACCATTTATTTTTATAGGTAAGGGGATATTTTGTTTTCTTTGGATCACCATTACTTTTGTTTTTTTTTCGTTGATCTTCATTCCAAACTCTCGACAAGCATCCTTAAGGTGGTCTATAACCCTCTGTAAGTTTGTGTCTGTATCAGCCAGTAGGACAGTGTCATCTGCATATCTTATGCTAGATATTGGTTCTCCATTAATTTTTATTCCTGTGGAAAGGTTTTCCAAGGCTTGCTTGAATAGTAGTTCCGAGTAAAGATTGAACAGCATAGGGGATAGTATGCATCCTTGCCTTACACCTTTATTTATACTAATATTTCTCGATGTATGATCGTCGATCCTAATCTTGGCACTCTGCCTCCAATATAAGTTCTTAATTAATCGGAGATCTTTACTATCCAAGTTGATGCTCTGCAAGGACTTTACTAATGAATATAATATTGAACACAAAACAAATACCCACCACATGGAACGAGGTAATAACACTATTACTATTTAAGAAAGGCGATAGAAAATATTTGAAAAACTATATGCCCATAACACTACTTAATGTAATGTACAAACTGTTATCTAAATTACGAACAAACAGATTAACAACTAACTTAGATAATTACCAGTCAAGAGAGCAAGCCGGTTTTAGAAAATAATTCAGTGCAAGCGACCATCTACTTACGATCTTCTTTTTCTTCATGTACCATGTCCTTTAAGAACGTTGGTTACCATCATAGCTATTTTAATTTTATTCACTGCCACCCTAAATAGCATGCTTGTATCTACACCATACCAATCTCGCAAGTTCTTCAACCATGAGGTTCTTCTTCGTCCTGGACTGCGTTTGCCTGATATTTTTCCTTGCATGATATTTTGTAGCAATCTATATTTGGGACCTCTCATTACATGTCCGAAATTTTCCAGCTTTCTCTGCTTGATGCTTTTTATGATCTCAGTGGTCTTGCTGAGGCGTTTAAGTATTGTGGAGTTACGAATCTTCTCCACCCAGGAAACTTTTAAAATTCTTCTATAGCACCACATTTCGAAAGCCTCAAGGCGATTTAGATCGATTTTATTCACAGTCCAGGACTCGACAGCATAAAGTAAGACCGAGAACACGTAGCAGCGAAGTAGGCGGATCCTTAATGCCAATTTTAGGTCTCTGTTACATAAAACCTTGGACATCCTTCTAAAAGCAGCTCTAGCCTGCTCTATTCTGGATCTAATTTCGCCGTGATTTTCTGCATTACAATTTAATTGCTGTCCAAGGTAGACGATTTTATCAACTTGCTCAAGTTTGGTATTATTTACATATATAGACGGTTTTATATTCTGTTGTTTACTTATTACAAGTATTTTGGTTTTCCTTATGTTAAGATCCAGACCTGCCTCCCTACAACTCTCAACGACACTATCAAGTAGTGTCGATACTACTACTTACGATACTACTTACGATAAAAATGTTATTTGAAAAGGTCAACAAATATCAAATCTCAATGTATATGCCATTTGTAGACTTTAAGGAAGCATTCGATAAAGTGGAACATTGGGCATTAAAGAATTCTTTACAAAATGGGAAAATAGACTATAGATATACGGACTTAGTTTAAAATATATATGATCGAGCAACAACATCCATTAAAATGGTTGAACAAACGGAGCCTATTAAGATAGGGCGAGGAGTCAGACAGGGTAACACTATATCACCCAAACTATTCAATCAAGCTTTGGAAGCCGTTATGAGGAAATTACAATGGGAAAAACGGGGTATTAACATAAAGGGTCAATACTTGAATCACTTGAGATATGCAAGCGACATTGTATTAATAACAGATAAAAGGGAATAATTACAAAATACGATAGATGAATTAAATAGCGAATCAACAAAAATAGGTCTACAAATGAATTATAATAAAACGAAAATTATGACCGACCAACCAGAAGAATTAATAAGTACAATTACACAAACAACTATAGAACAAGTAAAAGAATATGTATATTTGGGACAACGAGAAATTAAATAAAGAAAATCACACCGGAGAAATAAAGAGAAGGATACGGTTGGTTTGAGTATCCTTCGAAAAACTTTCCTATATACTAAAAAATAGAAAATACCCCCAATATTTAAATACAAGAGTCTTCAACCAATGTATACTTCCTGTTCTCATCTATGGTTCTCAACCTTGGACGTTTACAAAGGAAAACATGGAAAAAATAGCAACGACCCAAAGAGCCATGGAAAGGCAAATGCTGAACATCAGGCAATCAGAAAAGAAAAGAAATACTTGGATCCGCAACAAAACAAAAGTGACCAATGTATCAACGCAGATAGCAAAACTTAAGTGGAAGTTCGCTGGACATACCGTAAGACAGAAAGCCGACAGATGGAATAGGATGATTATACACTGGAGACCATATGATTACAAACGAAAAGGAGGAAGGCCACAAATGAGACGGTCAGATGACTTGATGAAACACGCAGGCCCGAAGTGGATACAAACTGCCTACAATAGAAAGACGGGGAGGAAGGAAGAGGATTCCTATGTCCAAAATTGGCCAGCAAGGGCTGTAGAGATAGATAGATAGAAGAGCCAGAAAATAATTCATTATTTAAAAAACGGGAAAAATGGCAGACATGGAAAAAACAATTTCTTTAATCGAAAAGAAAACTATATCGGAGAGCTTGAAAAAGAAACAAGTAACGGAAGTCCTGATAGAAGCGACTGAAAGTGTATAATATATGAAAACAGTAAATATAATAAGAACGGAATAGCTATATAAAGAAGGTGGCCATGATACCATATTATAAAAGAAATATGGACACAGAAATCACTCACCAATGATTGGAATATTGAAATACTTTGCACCATACACAAAAAAGGAATTATCGTTGAATGCTCTAACCACAGAGAAATTACGCTTCTAAATGCAGCGTATAAAATACAGTACTATGTCACCGTATGGCACCATATACAAAAGTAGGAAAATACCAGGCTGGTTTCAGAGGTGGTAAATCGACAATTCCTCAGATTGCAACCCTGAAACAAATTTTGGAAAAAACCAAATTTTATAATAATTATCACAGTTTATAATAATTAAACTTTGCTATAGATTGTGTTTACGTTTTAGGGGAATGTGGACACCAACCAGCAGTGAGAGTATGGGACCTTCAGTCAGACCCACAGTCAGGCCATCCAGGTTTAGCTCCACAGCCCCAACAAGTCGCCGAATTTTTGGTTCACAAGTTTGGTATCAACTGTGTGGTAAGTAAATACTACTAAATCTTATTATTACCACTATTTTATTAGAAAAAGGAGTCAGTAGCTGCTGTCCGTAATTATTGTACATAGTCATCATCTCACTTAATAAGATAAGTTACGTTACAGACAGCAGCCATACTCTTTCTGCTGCATATGTCACACCTAGGGGAGTAGTTAGAGAAGTAAACTTTTAACAATGGACATTAATCTCAGAGGAGTCAAGTCGCAAGCTGGAAGATGGCTTGTTTTCCTTCTTTTATGAGGGGTATGAAAATGTTCGAAATATATCTTGGATTGTGAAAGTGGATAGATTACTCATGCTCAACTTTCGTTCTTCCTCTCTCTTTCTCGCTCATTATGTCTCTTCTGTACTCCCACTAGCTCTCCCCTCTTTATATCTTCCTACCGCTCCTTCTCCCACCATCTTTATCTTTATTCTTATTTCTTCTGTCTTAAACTCTCTCTCCTTCCCTCTCCTTTCGGCCACTCCCCCTATATCTTTATTTGCCTCTTTCGCACTTTGTCTTTTACTTTACTACCTGCATCTGAGCAAGCTGTCTGAGATATAGCCGCCTTTCTCCGTAATCTTTTCCCTTTCGAGACTTCTTTACATGTCTCCCTATGGGGATTGACCACCACCGATCCAGCGATGTTATCACCTCGTCCACCACTTCTGTGATTGATTGTAGCTCCTACAGCCCAGATCTTTCTCTCTCTCTCTTTTTCTGCCTTTCTCTATTTATTCCTCTCTCTCTATCTTTCCCTCCCTCCCTCTCGAATTAGACAAGGGACTGCTACATAGGATATCTGTGGTATATTTACACAGACAACGTAGGTATAACCAACTCGTTTAATCCAACGAGTCATCTGATAAAAGAAGTTGCAAAAATCATTGCTGGATTGTTACTGTTTTCATAGTTTAATGTTTTAAAGTTAAAACAGATGGGATTCTGAGGATGCTCGATCTTATTATACAACTGGGTAACCTGATGCTCTTCCCATCAATTAGGAAGAGCATTATCCCCAACATTCAATTCTTGTAAAGATATTAACAAATGGCAATCCTTACTTATATGATTAATTAATAATTATTATAAAACTGTTTTTTTCTTTTTTAGGCATTTTCGCCGACGGGCAAATATGTAGTCAGCATAGGCACTCAGCACGATATGATAGTGAATGTGTGGGACTGGAAGAATAATATTAAAGTAGCCAGTAATAAAGTTAGCACGAAAGTCAAGGCGATCGCTTTTGCTGAAAACGGCAGCTATTTTGTTACTGTTGGTAATAGGCACGTGAAGTTTTGGTACCTGGAATACGGAAATGCTAAGGTGAGTTTGCATAAAATACCAAATTAAATATATCGTATAAAATCTTAATAAGACAGTATTTTTTAAAAACTTTCCTAGACACTTGACATAGACATAGACTACTGACAACCGATATAGACAGCTGATAGACACCTGACAAAGACAGACATAAATTTTCCTTTCTATGTTATTCTTCTTGTAATATCTTGCGGAAAATGGAACTAAATTTACATTTTTTTTTTTACTTTGTTGTAGTACAAGGACACAGTTCCGTTAATGGGTAGATCAGCCATATTGGGTGACCAAAGGAATAACTATTTCTGTGATGTAGCTTGTGGTAAAGCGGACTGTGCGGATAGCACGTACGTAATCACAAGGTCCGGACTGCTCTGTGAATTCAATAATAGAAGACTTTTAGATAAATGGGTAGAATTAAGGGTAAGTATAAAGAATATGTCTAATTTACATATTAATACGTGGTACATAAAATTTTCCTAATAGTTCCTTTTGTTTAACTAAATCCACAAGGAAAAATTCCTGTAGCTGGCTGTATACCACGTATAACAAAAAGAGGTTAATCTTTGTAAATGGGTATATTTATTTAAAAAACCCTTAAAAGGGCCACATCAATAGAACAAACGTTTTCGGACTAAACAGTCCATCATCAGGTTATTAAAATCGAAAATGCCTAAAAATAAGTATAAACCATTTAGTTAAAACAAACGAAATTTTGAAATTTTGACTAAGGTTGAAAAGCAAAAGATGGTTATACTTACTAGGTCATAATGCCTGAGCCACCAAAATATTAGGGTAAAAACCCTTTAAATTACATTTAGTTATGAAATGTTGTACATTGTGTTATAAAATAACTGTGATGTTCTATATTAAATTAAATTTGACCAAAGGTAACACATGGCTCAAATGGGTTCCAGAGCCGGGCGAGAGACAACCTCTGCGCTCGGAGAACAACGTGGAACTGATTGACAAGATACTTTTGAAGGATGAAGATAACAGAATGTCAATGCAACAAAAACTATAAAAGTTGTACATAGTATTACTACAGCCAAAAGATTCAACAAGTTTTGATGATTTTAAAAATAACAACAATATAGGTGTTGGGATTTAAAAACTTTTTATTTATTAATTTAGGGTATAAAAGATGTCAAATCAATGATGGTTTTATAGTCATGATTAATATAATGACCTGTGCCTTAGGCAACTTATGTTGCTTTTCGTCGTATGGAATGTGGTCTAAAGTGTATTTAATTTTTGGGTTAGCTTGTATTTGTGGAATTTATCCTTTTATGTTTAACACATCTAGGACAAGGTAAAAATTAAATAACAAATATTTGAAGCTAATATAAGACCTCATGTTTAAATGACTTTATTTAGGAATGCTCCTATGGTGAAGAATTAATAAAATTAAGTTTAGTAAGATGGAAATCTACAGGCTGAAGAAATTGAAGTAGTAACATATGTGATTGAATTTAAAATCGAAGAGACTGGGTTCCTCAGAGACTGATGAGAATGAAATTAAAAGAAATGAAAGGAGGGGGGGGGTTGAAGGAGAAAAGGAGTTGATCAACAATTAGAGATAATAGTTTAACTGTTTTTGCTCTAACTGTATATTGTATGGGTTTCTATCTAACCATTGATATGCAATACCGATCCCATATACATAACGGAATCGTTTCATTATTAAAAATTAGTGTCTTATTTAGATCAGGAACTTCATCTTCAACTTATGATTCTAGATTTTCTGTTTTTCTCTAATATACTGTTTTTAATGGTCTCTCTTCATGTTTTAGTTAATTCCTTTTCAGTATTAATATGTGTACTACTCATCCCCATAGGTCAAACATTAAGCAAGTTCCACTTAAAACTATTGAAACTATTTATTATTTTATCCTACGCATAGCATATACGATATATTTATTTTTCTTTCTTTGGTTTAGACAACAAGTGCCAACTGTATTGCTGTAGGAGAAAAATATATTTTTGTGGGTTGCGCAGAAGGTATCATTAGATGTTTCGATCCGACTACACTTAAGTTTGTTACTACGCTTCCTAGAAATCATTACTTAGGAGTAGATGTTAGCCTTGGAACTAGTATACAGTAAGTATATTAATATTTACACTTTACAGACGTTCCCTTCGTTTCAACAAGCAAAAAAACAAGTATAAAAGTGATATTTAATATCACGAAACATAAAGTCTCAAAAAATCGATAGAAATAAGATCTGCGCGTGTAATGGACAGAACACAGAACCAAGAATCCTGGAAGAGCTTAATATCAATTAATTCGGCCACATAACCAGAAGAACGGGACTGTAAAACTATTGGTAGTAGAAGGAACGGCTAAGCCGAAAACTAAGAGAAAGATCTCCTACAAGATGGACAGATTAAATGAAGTCTCGGGATGTATATCCCTACATGAAGCCGTCCATCTGGGCACGTATCGTAAGGGATGAGAATGAGGAGGCAAGAGAAGAGCATGCTGCAAGAACTTTTAATGAATTAGGCAAGGATTTCGAAATGTGGCTTTATAGTCGAATCCTGAAGATATCCTATACCCACCACGTTGATTAGCAGGACGTTTTATTAAGGATGCAAGAAGGAAAAGATCTGTTAACCACAGTCAAAATCGAATAACTCGGTCACATCATGAAGAACAGCGAAATATATGGGTTGCTGCAATTAATTCTACAGGGAAACGTAGAAGTAAAACGAGGACCAGGAAGGCGAAGGATTTTCTATGCATAATACAGATTGTCATGATGGTCGCCTACATCCGGAACGGATAGGCACTACAAGAAGATGACAGGGACAATAATACGCTCATATATAAGACAGACAAGTCAATGGCAGTTTCATTCTTCATTGGTTCTATTGGATTGTATCTTAAACTTCGTTTTTAAAACTGAACATCTTTTCTAACCAAATTTTTGTAGGCATATGGCCTCACCTCCTCAAGATGCCAAATATCCCGACACTGTAGCCATAACGTTCGATGAAACGAATAATAAACTAACGTCCGTTTACAACGATCACTCCATATACGTTTGGGATGTCTTCAATATTCAGAGGGTAAATATATCTATTTTGAATTTGTTTCTCTCTTTACTTTTAACCCTCTCTTTTAGGTGGGTAAATCTTTTTCATTTCTGTACCATTCGGCGTGCATTTGGGGCGTAGAGATGGCACCTCCGAACAGTCCTCTACCACCGGGTAGTTTCCTCACTTGCAGTTCGGACGACACCATAAGAGTGTGGACTCTAGACAAAATAAATGAAAGCAGTTCCAAAGGAATCTATCAGCCAAATATATATAGTAATGTAAGTATTTATATGTAAATTTATAGGAATGGCGATTGCGTTATTAAGAGTATTATACCAAATTACTGCGTTAAGGGAAAGTCGTGGAATTTTACACAGTTAACCAAAACTGCAACTGTCTCTCAACATCTGCAGCATCCAAAATTAATAGAGACTTAACAAGCAAATTTCTTTTATGCAAAAACAAGCAAATTTCTTTTATGCAAAAAATGGCCACATATGTTGCAAAGTAAGGTTAGGTTAAGGTTAGGTTAGGCTGGGACCAAAGTTTTGGTAAATTTGGTCATTAAATTTCAATGAACTTTCAGCAAATTAGTACACTGGAATAGACGAGTACACTGAAAAGAAAATTATTAAAGGCTGAACTACATGCTGAAATACTACATAGAGTCTCGCGACAAGAAGACCTAAAGAGAAACACAGCTAATGACAAACTTGGTTCTCAGCGAAGATATCGACATAGATGGAACTCAAATAAAGAATACCGCTTTGTATAAATATATATGTGTCATGAAATACGTATTAGTAAAGATAACATGCAAACTTTACCGGAACATCTGTCATAGGCCGTCTTTGGTAACCTGCAAAGATATCAGAGTTCAAATATGGAAGTCTGAAGAGAAACCGGAGTACGGTATGTTGTGGAATGAGCGACTGCCCTAAAGCCAAATTAAGCTGAACTTATCACAAGAATGGACGGTAATAGGTAAACTAAGAGAATTATCGAGTGCAGCTGCCAATGTCAGATGGGGAGTTCAAACTGCCTTTAGAAATAGGTGGCACCCTTCAAATGTTGGACTGACGATTTTTGACGCATATGCACAAACTGTTACGAGAAGTTAGAGTTAGTTAGAGAGAAAAAGTTAGAGAGCTATGGAGGTTTTTAAGGACAGTTTACGATTCGACGCTTGACATTCATTTAGTGGAGTATTGACGAATTGTATAAGTATACACTATTCAGACCATGGACGTATAAATAAAGATATCTTTATTTATACGTCCATGATTCAGATAATCTTGGTTTCCGACTGTTTTATTCTAACGACTTACTATGCTACTCATATCTATCCTTTTAAAACCTGTGCGATGAAACATCGCCATAATTAGCGTTTAAGTATATTCCAGCAAAAATATTATAAATAACTGTGTTATTGTGTTTAAAAATAAATCTTTCATAAATTTGTTTTAGGAATTGCTGAAAGTTGTATATGTAGATAGAGATTTATCATTTATAAAAGATCTAGATATATCTGGAACGACAGAAAAACAAGAAAACACTTCTTACGATGGAAGAAACGGTGTTAGGTGTATAAGGATTAGTCCAGATGGAAAACATTTGGCATCAGGAGACCGAGCAGGTACAAGTTTATTCATTTCTGTAATCATTACAATATTTTATATAAAACTGTCTATTTTATAATTTTATATTTATATTTTTCGTTTGCCTTCAGGAAATATTCGTATCCACGATGTATCATCAATGCGAGAGGATTGCAAAATCGAAGCACACGATGCTGAAGTCCTTTGTCTAGAATACTCAGATACTAGCCTTAACCTGATGGCATCCGCCAGCCGAGATAGGCTTATTCACGTCTTTGATATGAAAGACGGATACGAGTTTCTGCAAACCTTAGACGATCATTCTTCTTCTATTACAGCCGTACGGTTTTTACACCATGGGGGAAATACACAGATGGTATCATGTGGAGCCGACAAAAGTCTCATTTTCAGGTAGGTAACATTAACCACATTTTAAATGACAATCCGACTGTATCTTTACACGAACTACAGAAGTTATCTTGCATCTTATGTTCAGACTTTATATTTTTTTATTAATTATTTTAGGTCGCTAGGGGAATTAAACAATAAACCTCAATTCACTAGAGCACACAACGCTACTGGCAAAACTACCCTGTATGACATGGAGGTGGATACGGGACAAAAACACGTGTTAACCGCTTGTCAGGATAGAAACGTCCGCATTTACAGTGTACATAACGGAAAACATACGAAGAGTTTTAAGGGTAGTACAGGAGACGATGGAACGTTGATAAAGGTAAATGTTTTAATATTATTGAACGATAAATATTATTCCGACCATATACTATCATTGTTAAATTTTTTTACATTCGAAAAATTATGTCATTTTTTCGCTGTTTTATTAACTATCCTTCTATCACAATTTTACGATCATTATCTTAGTCCAACCCTTGACAACCCTTCCTACGCACATTTTAACCCCACTCCATTACGAATACAACATATAACAAACTGTGAAGTAATACGAAGAATAGGAAAAGACTCAGAGATTTTGTTAACGCTAAAGCGAAGAAAACTCGAATATTTTGGTCACCTGATGAGAGGACATAAATACGCATTACTTCAAAATATAATGCAGGGAAAAATAGAAGGAAAACGGAATCCAGGCCGTAGAAGAATGTCATGGTTGCGGAATTTGAGAGAGTGGTTTGGCTGCACCACTAATGAACTCTTTAGGTCAGCCGTAAACAAGGTCAGAATAGCCTTGATGATTTCCAATCTCCGATAGGAGTGGTACAAAAAGAAGAACAAGATTACGAATACAGACAGTTTTAATAGCAAAGAAGAAAGACTCTCTCTTGATTGTCGACTGCCGCTAGGGACAGTCGTGCTCTCTTGCCTGTTACCTATCGCTTGGTACAGACGTATCTCTCTCGTATATCGTTAAGGACAGTCCACTTTCTCTCTCTCTCTCTCTCTCCCTCTCTCCCTCTCTCCGTCTCTCTCTCTCCCTCTCTCCGTCTCTCTCTCTCTCTCTCTCTCTCTCTCTCTCTCTCTCCTCTCTCTCTCTCTCTCTCTCTCTCTTCGCTTATCAAGAAGAACAGCATCTCCATTGGCTGTTTTCTATCGTTAAAGAGACGCTCTATACTGTTAACTGCCGCTAACTAATATCTCTCTCCCGTTTGTAGTTACGCGAAAAATACCGCAAATACTATTTTAAATCGTGTACAGGCGCAAAGTATGCCCTATCTCGTGATATCAGTGTTAGTACCGCGAAACACGTGTTTAGAAACCTGTGCCTGGACAGATTTCGCGTATGAAGAATAATCGCGAGAGTGTGGAGCAGAAAATATTGGTAAGACCTTGTATAAACTTAATTTGCTATTGTCTGTATAACCCTTTACTACATATCCTAATTTATTTGAACCAGCCCTATGTAATGCAGTCCACATACACTGAAATTATACTCATAATTTCCCACATATGTACACCCTTTTTGTACAATCATAATAATCCATATTTACCCCAAACAACTCATTTTTCTTGTAACAGTTTAGTATAAAACCATCAAATGTGTTAATAAGTATTTAACTGTTGATTGTTAAGACTGTGAGTACTCTGCTACATACTAATTTCATGGAAACTTTCCATTGCCTCGACTGAAGAATTTATAGTCAGATGGTGTCTGCTTTTATTAATCGTATATATCCGATAATATCCTCCATTTTTTATAGTTTTTTTTTTTCTGTTTATTCTCTTATTTAACTCAGTTAAATTAATGAGTAAAGATGTTTGAAACGAAGCTCGTACGGTCCTGATTTCTCAGTCTATCGCCAAACTACCACACACCTAGAGTCCGACAAACTTAAGTTTGGGAATGTGATGTAGTGTTTCGCGCAGACGGGCGGACCGTTTCTACCAGTGGCGGATGGAAACCGGTAGCTTTAAAATAAATTTTTATAAGTATACTCAATTAATTACTATTTAACTGGGAATAAACCACAATTAAAGATAAAAATACGTTTATTGACGTTTCAATTTCCACTTCGGAAATCGTTCTCAAAGTTTTATTTTTTATTTTAATTTATTTTTTATTTTTATTCTAGCTTCCGAACAATATACTCAATTAAAGTGAGAATGAATTTGTCAATTTTTATTTTTCTAGTTTTTAATATTTATGAAGTTTATATAGTCAGGCATTCAATAAAATAATGAGTAATCAATTAGGAGTACTTTAATAAATAACAAATTCCTCAATACTTACAATCTATTAACATTGCCAGGAAGGAAGGAAGGGTTTCAAATACACAAAAAAAATAAGTAATTTATTTTAACTAATTAAATAATGTATTTATTTTCTAAACAGTAATGATTGTAAAGACGTCTATGCTTTGTTATATGACAAAAGAATATCACACAAAAACACGTCTATTCCGGAATTTGAATCATTATCTTCGTTATCAGAAAGGCTTTCTTCGGTTAAACCAGTATTAATAAAAAATTTAAGTGGTTCAGCGTAGAGTCTAATAAATGTTCTTTTGCGATTTGAGTGTTTTCATATTTTTTTACGTATTTACATATGTCAAACCACTCTTCTATTAACACTTCTGAAAATTTTGTTCTTATGATATTTTCAACACAATTTATGTTAAATGTTGTATTATGAGTGGCCACTCTATTTTTACCAAAGCCCATATTTTTTCGATGGTGTTTAACTCCGGATGATAGGGAGGCAAGCGAAGTATTTTATGTCCATATTGTTTAAGCTCATAATCTAATACATAAACTCGTGAAAAACGTGGTTTATTGGCTTGTATAATTTTTTATAATTCCGGTTAAATTGATTTCTTTAAAGTTTTTGCACTTTGATCTGACCAGTTGTATGGTAGAGTATGGCTGCTGTGTATATATGTTTCGTCGGTATAAACTATGGTTCTACCCTCAGATCGAAATTGAATTACCTTCTTTAAATATTCTATTCGTTTTAAATGAATTTCATATTTTTCCATTAGGACACTCCTATTGTCTTCGGTTTTTCACCACCTGTAATTTGTTCAAGATAATTTGAAGAATATATTTTTAAAAGTATGATGATTTAAATGTATCACAACATACAGAAGTGAGAACAATTTATTTGTTAAAAACAAAAATGATGTAGAATCGTATCGTATTTTTCTTTACAGTTTTTCGGAAACCGGAATCGAAATAGATTATCCAAATATTTAGTACTTTTAAAAAGACACTATTCATATTCATCATAAGTTTAACTAAAACGATGCCAATAAAATATCAATTTAAAATACATTATCCAATATACAGTTTTATTTGTTTGGCTGAATAATTATTTTACTGTGTTAACTAAAGCTTAATCCAATTATGATTTTCCTTAATGATTCCTTTGACCCTGGAAATCCCATTTCTTAGTTCTTTAGTTTTTGATAAATACCTTAAATAAATACGATCAAATCAACAAGTCAAACACTCTCTGCTACTGGACCAATCAGAACAGAGCAAAATGAATATAGAAACAGAACAAATGCAGAGATTAAGGAAGAACTTAAGGAAGACATCGTGACTAAAATAAAGCAATGCAGAGTTAGATGTTTAGGTCACATTTGGCGAGCAGGAAACAAGGTAGTGATATACGCAATGTTAGAATGGAATCCAGAAGAAAGAAAGAGAAGGGGAAGACCAAGATCAAAATGGCTGAAAGAAGTCGAAGAAGACATTCAAAGGACAGGAGTCAGAGAATGGAGAGGAAAAACTAGATACAGGAAAAAAATGGAGAGATATTGTCAAGAAGATAACATAAACAAAAGGGACTGATCCAACCAAGAAATAGAATCTAGAAAGCATTTGCGGTTTAACCCCACGCTGGGATGTATAGCCATTATATATTTGTTTGTCAAACGCCTGTTTAAAGTCTAGGAAAACTATACTTGTTTCTCCGTCGCCCTCGTATGTTTTCTCTATCACTTGTTTTAGCGCATGTATAGCGTCTATCGTGGATCTTTCTTTTCTAAAATCGTACTGGTAATCCCCTATGCTTTGATCTGTATATATTGTTAGTCTGTCTCTAATTATATATCAATTAATTGCTCGGTCATTTTTGCATATTCTATGGTCTCCTTGTTTTGGGATTGTCACTGTGATTCCCTTCTTCCATTCTTCTGGCGTTATTTCTGTATTCCATATATTCTGTATTAGTTCATAAATATGTCTGTATAGTGCCTCCCCACCGTATTTTATAAGTTCTGCACATATTCCGTCTTCTCCCGCTGTTTTCTCGTTTGCATATTTTCTCTTTCACTTCTGTATAGGTCGATTCTTCTCCTTCTTCATCTTGTTTCGTGTTCGTTATTGTTTCTCTGTCTTCTTTTCTATCAGAATTAAAAAGCAAATTCTATTTATTTAGGATTTACCAACAAAGGCTATGGGAAATCGTATTCGTATTATATTTCTTCGAAATACTTCTGCCATTTTCCTGCTTCTATAGCTATATTAGTTTTCGTTTACCTAGTTTTAATTGAAGTATTGGTACAATGGTTTTGAATTGTGTCGTTTATTTTCTGTTTCTATCTCGTTCATAATTTCTTCTACTTTTTGATTTTTTTCGATTTCAATAATTTCTTTATTTTTTGCCTTTGATCTCTGTATTTTTCTCGTTCCTCTTCTTTGCTTGTGCTTAACCATTTCAATTTTTGTTTTATTCTTTTCTTTCACTGTCAATTTGCACTAATCGTTAAACCAATTATTCCTGCTCTGCTGCATTTTTTCCTTGTTTGATTTTTTTCACTGTTCATCCATTTATTGTGCCTTGAACTGAATTTCTATATTTACCTCTTGTACAAATCTTCTTCTTTCTCTTTCAATTTATCCAAGTCCCATTTTCTGTGTCTATGTGTTTTTCGTCTTTCATTATTCGTTGTTTTTATCTAACATTTTGTAATCACTAGCATATGGTCCGAATCGATGTTGGCCCCCTGTAAGATCTAACGTCATTTATCGATTGTTTGTGTGTCTTTTAATCAGTACATTTGATTTCCTTATAGATTTCTTGGTCTCATCCATGTTATCTTGTGTATGTCTTTGTGTTTATATCTCGTGCTCTCGAGAGATATTGTTCCTACAAAAAAATATATCCAAGGTAAACGTTTCGTTTTTAAATTTTACATAATATTTGGTTAGCCAGAAATTGAAAATTTAATGTTTATTTTTAAAAAATGTGCAAAAAATGGAGCTGAAATTTAAAATTTTAATTACCCATTTTCTATTCTCAAGTTTTCAAAACTGCAAAGGTTGTACCTCTGTTTAAGAATAAAGGCTCTATTGATGATTATAACAATTATCGACCCATTTTTTTGTTGCCCATCTTATCAAAAGTTTATGAACGAATTTTAAAAAATCAAATTAATCTACATTTTGAATCTAATAAACTGTTTGCCATAAACCAGTACGGATTCCGAAAAAATAAAACAACAACTTTAGCTATTGATAATTTCACTAGCAATGTTTTGGAAGGGTTTGAGAAATATCTTGATACTCTTGCATCGTTTTTAGATCTTACTAAGGCTTTCGATTGTGTCACATATAGTATTCTGCTTAGAAAACTTCATTATTATAATTTTCATAGTGATGCTATTCAACTAATTGATTCATATCTATCAAATCGTGATCAATATGTTCACTTCAACTAGTGTGATTCTCAAAAACAATCTTTGTTGTTTGGTGTCCCTCAAGGCTCGGTTTTGGGTCCAGTATTATTTCTTATTTATATTAATGATCTAGTGTACTCTCAAAATGAAACAGTCAACACTGTTTTATTTGCTGATGATACTACTTTCTATGCAAGCTATCATCCTTCTGAATTCGACACCCTTGATTACCAAACATCTGAAAAAAACTTATTCAATTAGTTTTTAACTAACTGTCTCTCTTTGAATAACTCTAAATCACGAAGTGTTAATTTTACTCTAAGAAATAACACTTGTAACCGGAGCGAAGTTTCTGGGGATATATTTGGATGCAGGATTAACCTGGGAACAATATATAGTTAATCTATCGAAAAAGCTTTCCCGACAACTTTTTCTCTTCAGGAACCTTGTACAAGTGACTTCCAGGGAAACTATTTTAATAGCTTATAGTAAGTTTAATTCTCATCTGACATATGCTATTCTCTCCTGGGTTCACTCTTGTCATATCGATAAAGTGTTTGCACAACAAAGAAAGTGTGTTCGTATTATCTCTGGGCTCTCTTATAGAGCAGACTGTAGAAACTCCTGGTGTATACATTATGCAGTGTCTGTTGCACATTAAACAAAATCTTAGCCAATACAATGCGCATGTAGATTTTCACAATTATCCCACCAGATCTAACAATAATCTTATACCAGAATTTAGCCGTCTTGAGAGATCCAGAAATGGTTCAAGGTATTTAGCCATAAAATTCTACAACTTAGTGCCAGCTAGAATAAAAGCTCTTAATTTTCATCAGTTTAAGGCAAAAATTAAGAGTTACCTTATTTTACTTCCAATTTTAATTTGTTGTAATTGTTAACAGTATAATTTAAAACAATGTATCTATGTTTTGTGTTTATATTTATGTGTTCATATTAACTATATTGACATTTACTTTATTTTATTTGACTTAGAAAAAATACTTTTGTATTAATTTATTACCAATAAACCATCTATCTATCTATCTATTCTTTTATAACATTATTACTTGAAAACGCTTAATATACAATAATACACATAATTTTTACGAATTTAATTAGAGGGCCATATTCTTTCACAATAATTATGTCATTTTGGTACGTATACGCTCGTATTATCTTCGCCTCTAACGAATGAAAGCATGAAAAAGATTTAGGCTAAACACATGTTATTTGTTACTTCAATTATTTCAAAAACCTTTTAAATACTGGAAAAAAAGACAGTTAACATTTGGTTCCACGTATATTCGCTTAACAGAAGCTCCAGAATCTACAGAAGCTCTGAACGTAAAAACTAATCTTTCCCGTCGAAGAGAAGCAACAATAAAATGGCTTCAGCATACTGGACACCACAGTGGCATACTGAAGGTGACCTTTAAATATTCTTTATTATTAATATTAAAAAAATATATTCTTCTTATTGCGCCGTTTGCTTCCGAAGGTTGGCGATAGAAATGGCAATTGTAGTTTTGGAAACTGATACACGAAAGATTTCTGTGAATGAGCGGTCAAACCATCTCAAGTCTTTCAGCCACGAGTTCTTGGGTCTTCCAACTGATCTTTTGCCTTGAACTTGTCCTTACAATATGATTTGCAGTAATTCATATCTTTTACCTCTCAAGTTTTATATACTGGAGGTTTTGATAATGTATTGACTTTGACTTTTGTTACAATGTAAAAATATAAAGATGATCGCTAACATTTCCTAACGAAAAGCATTTTTTTAACCAACTGCCCTATTTTAGGTCGTCCTGGATAGATCCGGCATCTACTTAGCCACCTCCTGCACCGACAAATCCCTCTCAGTCTACGATTATTACTCTGGGGAATGTATGGCCACCATGTGCGGCCATTCCGAGCTAGCGACGGGTCTACGTTTCACCAACGATTGCCGCCGACTCATTTCTGCCAGTGGAGACGGTTGCATCTTCGTGTGGCGAGTTCCGCACGATATGGTGGTCACGATGCATGCGAGATTAAGCCAGCAAGCCATGAGGCAGGGCAAGCAGTTGGAGCAGGAGGTGTTTAGCGACAGCAGTACCTTTGATTTCTATGAAGGGGTCAATAATGTTGATACTAATTATAGGTGAGTATACCAAAAATTCTTCTTATTTTTTAATAACCTTGTCTCAACTTCAGAGAGTGATTAATAAAGGGTGAGTAGGGAAAGTGATTAGTATTTTAAATGTTGTGAAGCTTAAAGTCTTTAAATATTTCAGTACTTGTTTAAATTGAGGGTGAAGTAGATTTAGACTATTTGGCCTTCGATCACACATCCATAAACAATTTCACAGTTAGAAACATTCTGTAAATATTACATATTTCTGTTATAGGTTTAGCATAGGTCAGCTGCCCCAGTGGGCTAAGAAACAATTAACGGAAGATACTAGTCAGCCTTCTAGTCTAAGTAAAGGGGTGGCTGTTCCGAAAGGTAGATGGGCACAGAGGGCCGAAAATGCCATGGGAGTAAAGTCATTTTATTCCAATCAGCCGTATCCGTTCCCGTCACTCGGTAAGTAATTAACCTATTGTTAATGGCATTCATATACAGATTGAACGAGATAAATTCGGAACATACGAAATATATGTATTTCAGGCTCAACTCCGCTCTAGGTGGTTGGCCAGCAAAAGGTTGTCATAATTATATTATAAAAATCCAATACTTCAGCGGGCTGCCGGATTTTGAACTTATTCAAGAACAAGACAAAACTCCAACCAAATAGGTTGCCCCGAATATCACGTATAAAAATTGAAAGCTGCACATAAATCTAGGATTTTATTATGCTGTCAAACCACCACGCTTCTTTAGGCAAACCCCTCTTGCTTCAGATGGATATTTTGAGCGGTGTTACCAATCTCATTCCTCTAGATGTTTCTCAAATAAGGTGTTAACCATAAAATATTTACAGGAAAGAAAGGAAATAACTACAAACCATTAAGTTTATTTTTGTTATTAGTCTGTTGTAGTAGATTGGTAAATACAATGAAAAATATAGGCAAATATCCAATTTATTTAAAGATACGAAGAAGATATAACTCTCAAAAAGATCCGCAAATCGGATTATTACACGGCGGTTGGCAACATTGACTTTGGGCGGCACTATAGACTATAGTGCGTCCTAAAAGGAGACAGATAGTTGAACGATATTTTATATAATATCTATCACCGGGTATGGATTTATTTTTGTCCAAGTTTTATATTGGTCCACTACTTCAAATGCAGTTCAAACAGACATATATTAAATTTTATGATCCGTTTTAAAGTCGTTCAATCTGTATGTATTATACACAGAAATATTTTTATTGGTTCGTATGCACATTTGGTATACGATTTGTATAACAGTATAATGATGCTAAGATAGAAAATAATCTCAACTTTTTATTAAATCCATAAAATCTCAAATTTATGACTTTGTATAATCTTCATTTTTTAGATCGACGGTTTGACTCAGACGGAGGTTCAAAGGACAGCTCGCTAGATAGCGGAACAGAGATAAAATACTCCGAAACCCGTAGAGAAGTGACTTCCATGTCCAAAGTTACTACCAGAGTAGAAACCAGTAGTAGGAGAGGTATAATGACTGACGACAGCGCCATAGGGGATGTCGAATCGAACGCTCATGACGGCGATATTGATTCTGATATGGAGTATAGGCATCGGCCGATATATTACCCGTCGCAATCTGGATCGCAAAGGTAAGATTCTAATCTAATCTAATCTAACTAATAATGACGAGCAGGTTCTGTACATCTCAGTAGTGATTCATTTCCATTTAAGTCTCTTCAATTTAAAACTAGGATGCTATGATTTTTTCTCTGAAAACTGAATTTTTACTGACAAACCTTGGGTGTGTGTGTGTGTGTGTAAAGAAGCGATTTTCTTGCTTTATCTAGGACCAGAAGCTTTATAAATATGTAGTTCATTTAACATAGAAATGCAATATAGTCTAGTGAATATTTCCCAGCTCAACTCCTAAAATCACGCGCGTTAAACACTAAACTGCCATCTACTGAAAATAACCCAAAACTTTTACACGTTAGGTTCGGCAAGTGATTAAACCACGAAAGTTTTTTTCAATGAAAATGACGTAATTAAATAATAACAAAACTGTCTGCCTAATTTTTAATAATAAAGGGACATTTTATGATACGATATTGTTAGGCAACCCGGACCACGAACGTGGGCATCATTGGCTGCCTAAGGTGTAGAGGAGATCAATGTATATGCCATGGTACTCACACATATGTATTTAAGAGTTTAATAATATTCTTAATATTAAGAAACTAACATCTTACTGTTCAGAACAGCAGTTGATAAAATTATTGGGACCGGTAAACATTCAATGAGGATAAGCACTAGAAAAAGATTCGTTAGGCAAAGGGGTACCGAATAACTGGCAAATGTCACACAACCGATAGCTTAAGCAAGCGGAATCAGACCTGCTTGAAACTGGTTGAGACTGAGCAGCGCGATGAGTTATTTTGGCCTTTAAAAATCCTCTTCCTGGCTAACAATTGAAAACCTTATAAAACACATCGTTGTGTTACACAAGCATTGCTTAATTTCTAGGCGTCTCTCGTAATACAATAGCCTACACAAAACCAGGGAAAGTACCTCGTAGTGTGGTGTTTCATAGGAGCATTTCCCTCACCTTACACTCCTTTTCTAGTTTCCTTAACGTTTGCTTCTGGTACATGTATTTAAGAGTTTAATAATATTCTAAATATTAAGAAACTAACATCTTACTGTTCAGAACAGCAGTTGATAAAATTATTGGGACCGGTAAACACTCAATGAGGATAAGCACTAGAAAAAGATTCGTTAGGCAAAGGGGTACCGAATAACTGGCAAATGTCACACAACCGATAGCTTAAGCAAGCGGAATCAGACCTGCTTGAAACTGGTTGAGACTAAGCAGCGCGATGAGTTATTTTGGCCTTTAAAAATCCTCTTCCTGGCTAACAATTGAAAACCTTATAAAACACATCGTTGTGTTACACAAGCATTGCTTAATTTCTAGGCGTCTCTCGTAATACAATAGCCTACACAAAACCAGGGAAAGTACCTCGTAGTGTGGTGTTGCATAGGAGCATTTCCCTCACCTTACACTCCTTTTCTAGTTTCCTTAACGTTTGCTTCTGGTACATGTATTTTTGACATCTCCCGTATGAGTCCCATCTGCCACGAACGCTAGAACTATACTTTATTTCAATCTTAAATGAAATTTAAGTTTTTCATACGTAAATCGAATCTTTTTTTATTTTATTTTCTTTTCAGTGGTAGTGAATTTACAGTGACCAATATAGATGCAGATGAGTTACGGAAATCGCAACGGAAGAAGAAAACACCACAAATAATGATACAGCAAGCTACTACTTCCCCGACGTTTGGAAGTAATGATTCGGATGATGATGAAGATGAGGTAAGTTAGAACTCACTCATTGTATGACGTACATATGATTCTCCTAATGCTTTTAATTATTGTTGACTTGTACAACTTTGTAATTTTGTGGTATTTACTATATATGTCCAGTTCATACAATTAAATCTTGTCCATCCAGAAATGAGCGGTCTGAATGGCTGTGTCTGTAAGAGATCGTATTCAGTGTAAGGTAAATGTGTTGAATCTTGTACCCCTCCACATTCATTCACAGCAGGCAACAGTCCCTATTGCTCCATGTAGGTTTTATACTTTTATACACTCAGGGCAAGGAAGATGTCTACCAGAGGAAGGTTTCTCTCGATGATTCAGATGAGGAACAGCTTCATTTCATTTATCAAGACGAGTTATTTCTGATGTATCTTACAGATGCGTTACTCTAACCAGAAAGGTTTTCCCCGATCCAAGTTCTCGTGCGGTAGGCTGGTAATCGTGGAGTGGATGTCGCGAATTTAGAGTTTGTTTCTTTCATTCCACATGTCTAGCTACTTCTCTTCAGGTATATCGTGGAGTGATAGGGTAGAGCTATGTTCGGGTGTGGGTCTTAAAAATCCACTGATGATTCTTGCTAACTCATTGATAGCTACATCTAAATGTCTATCGTGTTCCGATGCTGCCATACTGGCGAGGTATATTTTTCAACAGAAATACAGAGTGCAACCGTGTTCTAAGGCTGGAAGGATATGAGCCCCATTTTTGGTTTGCAAGCTTGCGAAAAATATTGTTTCTGGCCGTCAGTTTGCCTTTTAATTTCAAACAATGTTCTTTGAACGAGAACGCGCGATCCAAAGTAATCGTAGGATAAGTGCAGTGTTCAAAGGTTTTATTACATCAGTTTGAATGTTCAGTTTTCTTAAAATGTGTCTGTTACAAAGGTGGAACAAGCACACCTGAGTTATACCGGCTTTAGCTTAAGATAGTTTGATTCGTTGTATATTTTCATTAAGTTGAAGGCTTCAGCTCGTGTTGTCTCCACTTCGGCAAAAGTTTTTGCTTGTGCAACAATAACTGTATAGTCTACATATGAAACTCCTAGCATCTATTGGTATGGATTGGTTGTATTTCGTGGTAATAAAATAACTTCCAGATGTTTTAATACTGTGATCATCTTTATAATTTGATGGGAGACGAAATGAGGAGTGAAGGAAAGAATGGGAAAATTGATAGAAACGAAAATATCTGGTCAGAAATTAAAAAAAAATATCCGAATGGGCTCATTCTTGTCTTAAAAAGAAAGAAAAAAATCTTCAGCTTTAATATTATGTTTATTTTTAAAATATTTATCATTGAACCTAAAATGTTATTTAACAGTTGATATTATTCCAGGCTTCAACTCCCAGCGGAGATAACACTGACAGAAACCCACTGTCTTTATTTTCTCTAAGCTCAGAGTCATTAGATCAGCTTGTTAGTAGAGAAAGGTATCTTCAGTCCACCTTCGAAAGCATGTCTGGTTTGGAGAGCGATCTACAAACTCCAAGTAAGTATTATAAATATTATTTTTACTATATTCCAGAGATCCAATACCTAATAATTTATTTGTAGCTAACAAATCCTCGATATCTTCCAAATTCTTAACGAAATCCAGCGAAAGGAATCAAGAAGCTATCAACGCCCTTAAACAAACCAAAAACGATCCAGATGCCATTAGAAAGAGACAGGAGCTCAATAAAAGGGTAGCTGAAACTAGGAAAAAATTAGAAAGTGTAAGTATTGTTGTATACAAATTTTTAGTATATACAGTGTTGATAACCTGCATCAAGCGATTTATTTTTAACATATATGAATGAGTGAATTTTGTTTTCTGGAACCAGATTCTGGAACCAGAGTTTTATGAACCCAAAGAGTCTAGCTCTTTGGGTTCTTATTTTTGCCGTAATTGCTCGTTTTCCATACATCCTCATTAGTTCTTTATTTGTTGACTTCTCCAAATATTCTCTGCCGTCTTTTTTCCTCCGAAGATTTTTCTGAGCACCTTTCTTTCCCAGATTTCTCTCTTTTCTTCCTGATGGTTCATAATCCATGTTTAACTGGCATACATCACTGTGGGTCTGTATATATTTCCCGTGTTCGTTATAGTTACTCATAAGTATTCAAATTCTTTTGAATACTTAGAGACTTCTTCAAAACTATAGACAGTCTCTGCTGATTTCATTTTAATATATTTGTTATTTTAATTATTTGTTATTAGTTGATGTCTCCTCTCATTTTCATATATTGCGTTTTTCTTCAAATTTCTGGAAAACTTTTTCTAAATGTTTTTTTTTGTTCTTGCTAGTATCACTCTTGTTTTAAACCTCTATTCACTGTGAACTGTTCATCGGACAAAAAGACAAATTGCCACATGAAAGCTTATTTATATTGAAGTTTTTTAACAATTGTGTCACATTTTAGACTGTTATCGTTATTATTTAATTAAAACTTTCTCGTCTAAGACTCATTTAGAAAAATATTTTATAGCTACTTTAAATTTGGCACCTTTGCTTTCCCGGATATGTCTTCCATATTAAGAAGTCACTTTTATGAATTTTGGTCTCCTTTTCATAACGATTAGATTCCCTCTTTTGTCTTTTTGTTCGATGGAACTGTCCTTAAAAGCTTCCTTCCATTGCTACCCTATTTATTGTGTTCCTAAGCATCATTCTCACTAGCCTTATAAGCTTTTCTAGTATTTCTAATGTTCTCATGGCCTCATATACTTGTTTAAAATCGATAAATAGCATATGTAATCCTAAGTTTTGTTCGTAGCTATTGATCATCATCAGTGGCATTACAGCTCGTTATGAGCCAAAGCCTTCTTTATAACAATCTTCCATTCGCTCCTGTCTCTGGCAACTCTTCTCCATGCTTTAACTCCGATGGATTTTAGATCATCCTCTATGTTTGATACCCAAATTTTGATCTTCCTCTGGCTAGTCTTCCCACTGGTCGTCTTTGGTCGAAAATTTTTCTGATCCATGCATCTTCATCTCGCCTAATTACATGTTCTATCCATCGAAGGCGTACTAATTTACATACATTTACATACATTTTACAACGTCAGGGTCCCCAAAACTTCTGTATAACTCAAAGTTGCAACGCCTACGCCACAAACCTTGTTCTTGAACTCCTCTATATATTTTACTTCAAATTTGTCTCTCGAAACGTTTAAGCAATGTTCGTAGCTATTATTTTGTATTAATGTTAACGTACTTATTTGATCAGTAGTTCTTTTAAGAACCGACTACTTTTAATAGTGATGTACCTCTATAGTTTTTGTGCACTCCGTTTTGTCTCCTTTTTTATAAATAGGACAAATAAGAACGCTATTCCATTGGTTCGGAATTTCTTCCTTTTGCCAAATTATTATTGTCAAGTGACATATCCTTTCCTTCAATCTTTCGACGCCTTTCTTAAAATTCTCAGCTTGGATACCACTTTCTCATTCACTTTGTTATTTTTTAGGTCTCTTATTATTTCTTTCACTTGATTTAAAGTTGGTTCCTCGCATGTCCACTCTTTATCTTTTGGTCAATTCTCATTTCCCTAGAGTTCCTCTTATTGGTTTGTATTTAATAGAAATATTCCGCCTATCTGTTTAATGTTTTTCAATTGCTTTTCTAGCTGTTCTCTTTTCTTTTTTCTGCATATTCTTTTCACTTATCTTCTTCTTTCCGCACAGTTTTCAATGGCATTTTAGGTACTTTCTTTATTCCTTTGTAGTTTTGCCCTGTTTCTTCGTGCTAAAGCATTCCTACATTCTCCATGTCTTTTTATATGCTCACTTCTTATATGTTTTGCCGCTGCTTCCAATATGGCTCTCTGTATGGTCTGCTATTCTTCTATAAATTTTCTTTTTTTCGACTTTCGCATTCATGTCACCAATTATTGATTTCCTTTATATCGTATTTCTGTATATTTCCTATTAGGGTGCTTAGTTTTTCGTAGAACTCTGTTTTAGTTTCTAAATCTTCAGTGGCCCCATGGGTACCTTGAATAGTTGAGTAAAAGAGGTGAGAGAGACATTTTTCAGAGAAACTAAAACCATAGAAGTATGTTCAGTGTATCAAGTTGATCTTTTTATTTCCCCTCCTATACATATCTGGCAGTCCTACTCATCCCTTGTTCAACTCGTCTTTCTCCTCTCCCATCTATTCTTCTTTTTCCAAAAGCGCACAGTGTTTTTTTTAAATTTTTATAGAAAGTTTGCAAGTGAATGAAAAAATTTATTGGGGTTTTGAAAATAATAGAGAATTCAATAAATAATTTAGTATGTGGAAAACTTAAACATATGACAAAATAAAAGTCATATAAATAAATTAAATATAAATTACTCCTTCTAGTCTGCTATTCTGTCCCAGTAGTCTTTCTCCTCGTTTTTCTCCTTCTACAGTGCGTTAAGTTTTTGATTAGGTATTGCATACTATACGGAGCGCTAAAATCGGCAACGTTGAAATGTTCGTTCTCCGACCCGAAAATCTACAACAACAGAAAATCATTTATTTTAGTTTAGTAACTCACAACAACGTTAGGGATGTACTTCTCTGTCGTCCTTTCTCATGTTTCATTACGTAAAGCCGATTTTAATAGTAGGAAATTCGATAAAAATGCACTGAACTAATCGGTGCATTGTTATCGATTTTTATTAATGTGAAAATTTTTTTGTGGTTGAATTAAAAATAAAAGCGTATTTCTTTAAAAAGATAAAATAAAAAATATACTCTTATTGAAAATTAAAATATTATTCCTAATAAAATAAAAAATAATTCTTTATGATCTACAGAAATGGTTCAAATAGTTGACCTTCTATGGCTGAACAGTACCCCAATCTGTCATAAAAACTTCTGCGAACAGATGAAAGAGTTTCTGCTGTAACAGAATTGGAGACTTCTCTTATTCGATTTTTTAATTCATCCAAATTTTGGGCTATAGCCTCAGGATGAGCGTAGATAATGCTTTTTAAATGTCCCCAAAAAAAGAAGTCCATGGGTGTAAGATCTGGAGATCGCGCAGGCCACTTAATATCGCCTGTTCCACTGATAACTCGATTCGGGAAAGTATTGTTTAAATACTCCCTAATAATTCGAGCGTTGTGAACTGAACAGCCGCCTTGATGAAACCAAACATTCTCCAGATTTACATCAGGAAGATTGAGAATAGCGGGAAGAACATGATTCTGTAACAAATCGAGTTATACTCTACTATTCAAGTTGCCCTCAATAAAAAATGGACCTATTATGTGGTCTCCTAAAATGTCAGTCCAGACGTTAACTTTTTGAGGACGTTGAGTTCGGTAAACAACACTTCTGTGCTGGTTTTCCCGCGCCCAATACCTCGTAATGGAAGGATTGTGTCTCCCTACTAACGAAACAGAAGATTCATCAGTGAATAAAATGTTTTTAATAAAATTTGGTTCACTATTAGCCTTCGTTATTAGAGTTTCACAAAACTCCATTCTTCGAAAGTAATCGTCTGGATAAAGCTGCTGCGTTTTCGAATATTTAAAATTCTTGTAACCGTGCTTTTTTCATACTTTCGTTACAGTAACATTGCTAACATCTAACTCTCTAGCAACGCTTCTACTTGAACGTGTTGAATCTACCTCGATTGTTGCACAAATTTGTGTATCCCGGTATTCTCTTTCCTAAACTTTTTCTGGTAACACTTCTCGAGCGTGACATTTTCTGCAATTTTTGAGGCAATAACAACTCTCAAAATTTTTAACAATATTATAAATTGACTGTACACAAGGAATTGGTCTTCCCTCAAAAAACACAGAAAATAAATCTACACACTGTTGCGCAGAATTGCCACTATAAAACCATTTTATTATTTGAGCTTTTTCCGCGGCCATATAAACAGACATGTTTACAGAAATAAATTAAAGCTCTACGCTGTTATACCTTTAAACAACCACGGTATAATGACAATCTGACAAATTTGCCGACCGGCGACGTGCAACGACGAGTCAACGAAGCAGATATGTAGTGCAAGTCGAAGACGCGCAGTGTTGCCATTTATAGAGTGTATACCTAATCCAAAACTTAACGCACTGTATTATTTCTTGTCCTTTACCATCTCATCGTACCTCTTACTACCCTGTTTTCCTTTTCATCAAATATAGTATTTTAATTCTGAAATAAAAAACTATCATTATCCATATGAGTAATTTAAACAGTATAATACTAATAATTCCATATAAATGATATTAGAAGTATCTAGAGACATATAAACGATTTAGAAAGTAAGTAGAGATCTACAACTAATTTGGGAATTACTAACAGAAGTATGGTTGATGTTAAAAATGCCTTAAGACTAATACCACTACTTTGATTTTTTTTAGGTTGGCCACAGTCCTCTCAAATATAGCCAGTCCATACACGATCTCTCCCACATTCCCGAACGAGACAGAAGATCAAAAAAACAAGGTAACGCATCTAACGATCGTCCGCTAGACGCGGTTCACCATAACAATTGCTTTTGCGATTCGGGCGCTAGTCAATCTCATTCTAATACTAGCAATATCTCCATTACTAACTTGACTAACAGCACTTCTTACACAGATTTTCCACAGAGCAATTCGGTACCGTCTGACTTACAGCTCTGCGGTTGCTACATGAAAGATATAGCGAAAAACACGTCACAGCTTTCTTGTATCTTGAATTTCAGTCACAGGTACACGGCTGCGAATTTAGATAACAACACCAAAGACAGTATTATAGGATCCAGGCTCAGTGACATTACAAAAAGTCCGGAAAAAACGCTAAACGATCTCATCCGTCCTAGAAAATTACAATTAGATAAAACGTTAACTAAGTATAAGTTACATAAAAGCTTGCCTGTTAGTCCAGTAAGCGAGGAAAGACAATTTGCAGATTATGTAGAACAGAAACAAGATTCTTCAGCAGTCAGAAAGTCCTTCAGCTACTTCATAGATTTCGAAAAACAATCTACCGATGAAGGATTTAAACAGATATGTAGTGATATAGAGAAATTTAGCGAAGATTTTAGCAAAAAGTACGAACAAATTGAACAAAAATTTGACAACCAAATAGAAACGCAAAAAACGGAACCCAAGAAAGAAGACGAAGATGGAAACTTTAGCTCTGATTCTTTGGAAGATTACTGCTTTCTTTCTGTAGTACCCAAAAAAGATAAAAAGCTTGTCCCACCAAGACGCTGTGTATCAAATAATGAAATCTACAAGCAAGATGAGGATTTCTTCGAGGAAATCCCAAAAAGCGAGAGTTTCTACCTAAACCAAAACATTAAATCATCTCAAGATAGTATTCTTTCTGACGAAAATATGTTAGAATATGATTTCTATACAGGACGATCTAAAAGCCATTGCACTAGCTTAGAAAGTGTTTTATCAACCGAATCAGAATGCAAATCAGCACCTTTAGAAATTTTATTCGAGTCTCATAGAAAATCTCAGGGCTACATGCCTCACTCTCAGAGTTTACCAAAAAATATCTACAGCCCATTCGACGACGAAATGAGCTCAAGCTTGCCCAAAAACTACCCAGATTTTGGGTACGAAAGGGCGTATCAATATGCACCAAAATGTGAAGTGAGATGCATGCACAACGCGCCCAAAATAATAAAAGCAACCAAAACTTGTCAAACCCAGACCGATTTCGCAACGCCACAAGAGATAGTTTCGAAAAAAGCTGTAAGAGGGAGCGAAGAATTTCAGAAAAAACTGCTCAAATTTGAACAGAAGAAGCCAGTCAGTTTCTTCGTCGAAACTAAACTCTCAAAGAGCTCAAGAAGTAAAGAAAACCAACCGTGCAGGGCGAAGAGAGAGGCAGAAATGTACATTCCAAGTTTAGCCAGTAAGAATAATCAATACAAAGCAAAATTCTGCAATGTGCTCAATAATAAACCTGAATTTAATACTGAAATTTTCGAAACTGGCTCGAAGGATCATAAAAACGCTTTTACTCTTTCAAAAGTTAACTTCGAAAAGAACACGAATAAGCAAGTTCAAGAGACATCAAGCCTTGATAGACACTTATTTACTAAAAGTCTTCAATCCAGCGAAAAAGTGTGCCATAAACCACCGAAAGCCATCAGAAGACACAGCTCTAAAACCAGAAAGACCAAAACTAGTTACGAGTATATAAGGAAAGAAGATTTTTATAGCAATAGCGCCAAATGCAATAAAAACAAAGATGTTCTGAATAACCTCACTAACCAGGATATTGTGACCGACGAGAATACCATCGAAATAAGCTTTAAAGAGAAAATCATCGACAGGGATCTAGATGCAGGAAACAGCAAAGAACAAAATATTCTCAGTGAACTTTACGATAGTCTAGATAAGAAAACAACAGCAACTAAGATGGATTACGATTCCTTAGAAGTCAATTTAAATACTAAAGGATCCGAAGAGAGATTATTTGATAGTTTGGAGGTGAACGTATGGTCTAAAAATAGCGGAATGTCTAAAAACACTGCCTTACAACTAGAAAACGTCCTCAAAAAGCCAAATTCGCCAAGTCAAAAGGACAAAATTGCTTTCGCATTAGAAAACATCAAAATACTAAACGCAATCCAAAAGAAACTGCACAAAATTAACACCTTAGTGGACATCTACAAGCAGAACATGACCTCCGGAAAGGTAAGAGCACTGTCTAGCATGTATGAGTCCATGACTAACTCGAAAAGCTACTACAACGATCTAACCAAGCTTCAAGCCACGCCCATTAGGTTTAGAAGAAGAAACTTAAGCCTGCCCAGCTTCGTTGAGCGACGACTCAACTACGACATCAAGACGAACCAAAAAAGCGATGCGAGGAATCAACAAGAGATTGTCAAACAAGAAGAACGTGAACCTAGCACTGAAGGTGAATAAACTTGATGTCAGCATGAACTGTCTTGTGAGCAAGGCTGTAAAATCGCTGCCTGAAGAAGACCTTTACTGTCGTCTTTTATTTTTGATTTTTTCGCATGATTATTTTTACTTTTCGCATGTAAGCCTCACGACAATGGTACTAAGCTACAAGTAGGTAGTAGAATTGTTAAATATTCATTCAATACGATAAATTTAAAGACCAGTTTGTGTTTTGTACTAATTTGGTGGTGGTTGCACCCTAATCGCAGTCAATTTGTTTAATTTGTAAATAAGAAATTCTTACTAAAAAATTCATATAATTTGGTATATTTAAACTCCACTTTGTGTTTTGGTCTAATCTGGTGGTGGTTGCACAGTAATCGCAGTCGGTTTGTTTAATTTGTAACTATAAAATACTCAACCAACTCTTGTTACACTTTTACAGGACAAAATTGATTTATTAACATTCTTGTTAAAAGATTAAAAAAACAAATGAAACGAAACGAAATAAAAAAATGAAACAATGAAATCGTAGCCTTTATTTCAAGGCTACGATTTCATTGATTATTTAGCTTACATTCCAGGTCATTATATATGGATATTTTTTCTAAAGCTTTTCCTTTAATGTAGATTCTTTCGTCTTCAATCTTGTTCTTACAGGCAATCATGTCTTTTGTGTCCAGGGCCATTCCATACCATTCCATCGCCTAGTAACCATTCCACTCTCAGACTTAAATTACAAAAAAGAACTAAACATACTTAAGCAAATAGCAGTCAACAATGGATATGACCATAACATTATCAATAAACTCATCCGCAAAAAACGCCTTAAGACCCTGCAGGAGACTGCTTTCCCCAGAGACCTCGTTACCAAGCCCAATTATGTTTCACTCCCATATTATCACGAAAGTCTTTCTGGAGATATTTGAAATCTCATCCAACGTTCGGTTGAAAATATCCATGTGTCATTTAAAGTACCCTACAATTTGGGTCAACACATTTCTAATTCCAAAGATCCCATCAATTATATGGATCGGAGTGGAGTATATAGATTAAAATGTTCAGATTGCAATGCTTCCTACATAGGTAGGACATGCAGATCATTATCCTCACGTTCTCTAGAACACATAAAAAGAGAAAATACTTCCACCTTCTCCCAACATCTCAAAGAACATGACCATACCCTCAATATCCCAGAAGACGTTTCACTTATCCACAACATACCCCAAAAAAACTTCCTTAAATTAGATTTATATGAAGATCTTGAAATTTTAAAAGAAAAACAAAAAAGCCCAAATTGTGTCAATCGTCATGTATCCTTTAATCGAGACTTCCTTCCTCTTCATCGCCAACTATTCTCATAATTTTTCACCACTAATTCACCTCTCAACTAAAATCCACATTTATCAATAAACTTCAGTCCATTCCAAAACTTTTACTTCAACATAACACACTCTTCATCTCTTCCCTCTTCTCTTCATTAAACCAAACTTCAAGTCTAACTCTCTTTATCTATTACTGTCCATGCTTCTTGTTAGCCTCCCAAAAATCCCAAACTATTCAGCAACCCTTTCTAACAAACATTTCAGTCCTCTTCTTACATTTTCACACAACTTCCTTAGGGTTTGGTAGCGGACTTCTGGTGATCTCAGCTTTCTGCAGTGGTTCAGTATCCCACCATCCATTCAAAACAACCATAAATTTCTTTTTTACTCAATTTAAACATAGCTATCTATTAATCTTTCAATTTCAAGTTAAGTCCAGTACACAACGCAGACAGATTCAACTTATAACTTATTCATTAAAAATTTTTTCATGTACCTAGTGTTGTCTTATAACAGATAGGGCCTTTTTAAGTTATAATTTGAGTTCTATATGATAAACATAATACAAAACCATATCCCAACCTTCAAATTTTGTTTATTTCACACAATAGTTGAACGAACACCTTAAGATCCTCATATCCATTATGAAATTAAATCGATTTATTTCTCAACATAGTCCCCTTTTAGCTCGATACACTTAGTAAGACGATGTTCCAATTTTTTATCTCATCAGAATAATTCTTTTGCTCGAGCACTTCAAAATAGGCCAAAGTTTCCAGCGACGACTTCATCATTTGTTGCAAAACGGCGTCCTCCGAGCCATTTTTTTAGGTTTGGAAACAGGAAAAAATCGCTGGCGCTAAGATGTGGGGAATACGGTGGGTGTTTAACCAATTCATAGCCCAATTCATGTAATTTTGCCATGGCGACAGCCGATCGTGAGCCGGTGAATTGTCTTGGTGAAATATAGCACTTTTTATGTTCCAACCTTCTCGACGCAATTCGGCATCGAATCGATCCAATAATGCTGCGTAGTACTCACCATTGATTGTTTTTCCTTTTTTCAAGTAGTCGATGTGGATGATGCCCTTCGCATTCCAGAAAACAGTCGCCATCACTTTGCCGACATAATGTGTACTCTTTGCACTGTTTCGACTGTTCTTTGGTTTCCGGTGTGTAGTAATGCACCCAGATTTCATCAATGGTAATAAATCGGCGAATAAAATCCTTCGGATCGCGCCGTATCATTGCCAAAAGCGTCTCCCAAGTTGTCACACGTTTTTGCATTTGATCGATTGTTAGCAAACGCAGCATCCATCGCGTGGATAGCTTTTTCATGTCCAAATGATGGTAAATGATGTGTAAGCGTTCGTAGGAAATCTTTAGGACCTCTATTAACTCTCGGAGCTTAATTCGACGATCTGTCATAATCATGTCATGGACTTTGTTGATCATTTCCATAGTGGTGAGTTCATTTGGCCTCTCGGGATGCTCATCAAAAAAACTCGTACGACCACGAACAAATTCAGCTTTCCAAAATTTTTCTGTTGCTAACGAAGGTGCAACCTTCAATGTCAACACCGAAACCAATTCGGTATCAAGTGGCGCCATCTATCAAAGGCTAGTTTAATATCAATCTATCCTCGTATAAGTTGATAGGTGATCAACTCTCTAATTGCGGTCATTTTTGACTATATTTCCATCATATATCCAACATTTGTATCGTATAATAATTGGTAGGCAAGGAACATTTACCTAACTGGAATAAATCTAGAAATCGTTAAATCGAGAATGTTTTCTCGGCGGAAAGAACAACTATTCTTTTTAGAAAATGTTCTCTGGTGAGCTGATTATCAGAATCTAGTTAATAGGAAAAAGGATAAAAATTTCAAATAAATCATTTGTTAGTATTACCGTGATATGGTAGCCTTAACTAGTAAGAAGAGCAAGTTGCTTTGAAAACACGATGTGTCTTAGGATTTGTTGTGAATAAAGGGTCTATTTTTCAAGAAAAATTTCAATGATTCAATAATAGTTTCCTATTTGATTTTAATCTTCTAATCCTGCGAGTTTCTTACTAAATGGATAATAGCTAATTTATAGCCTATCATTTTCTTTAAATATTTTTACAGTATTTGTAAGACATTTCGCAATAATTATGACCATTTTTTATGAGAATTATTTTATTTCGGTGCTTTTATTCATATATAGTTAGAGTATTAATTAGTTTTTTAATTATAAATCGTACTTTTATGAAATTTTGAGTATTTGGATTAAAAGATATTGAGTGATATCAATAGAAAACGGAAAAGTGCATACTTTCTGTATAAGTGTAACAAAAGAATAAGGAAATAATACACTGAAAGACAAGTAATATTCTATTTTATGTTTGAGATGTGATTATTCAAATATATTTTGTTTTTTATAATCTGTTGGGTATTTTCGTTGTCTTTTGTAATAATTAAATACCAAATATAAGCAAATATTTACTTTTCAACTATTTTAGAGACAATATTATAATTGCGTATTGATTTGCCGAGTTGTAGCTTAGTAGTATGGGCATTTTTTATTTTTGTTTTTCCGCATGTTGTTTCAGTCTATTTGGACGAAAGTTCCCCAGATAGCAGTTTGCGTAGGTCTTGCAGCTTGAGCGACTTAAGTATACAAACTTCAGCGATTCCAAAGAGGAAAATCGAACAAGGTAAGTGAGCCTCTAGCTAGAAAAGTATACATATCGTTTTTATAATTTGAAATAATATCACATCACATATCACAAATAAAACGTTAGATAATAAAACATATTTCATTATCTATTGCAAAACCTGATTTTTTAATGGAAGACTTCATAAAATCCAATATCATCTGATGAGTCAATCTTTTCATTGAAAATTTCATCTTATGTTTTTATATAACTTTTCATTCCCTTTTTAATTGTATTAAGACAAATTGACTCAACTTTCTACTAAGCCTGAGTATTTAGGCCTTCTTCTACAAATGTTATTTATATAAAATTAGTATCTACACAATACGACAAACATGAATGTCCTAAATCAGAGAGAGAGAGAGAGAGAAAGAGAAATTTGTATTTTTTAATTTGTCTTATACATACACTATTCTCATTCTATTAACATAGCACTGTTCTCATTCATATATTTTCACTGTTGGCAAATCATTGTCAAAAGTGTTGTAACATTTTTATTATTAAATTAAAAATATTTTAATAGTTTGTTCGAATAGGTTTATTCGAACAATTACTAGAGCCCAAATTGAGCTTCGGAGTCCAGGAATTTGTGCCTCCAATATTGGAATCTGTCGCAATTTGTCCATACAGGAAAATTGTACATAACGGTAACGTTATGTACAAAACGTACAAAATTGTACATAACAGGTAACATACACCCATGGTGTATGTTACCTGAAGTCAAATTTAATTATCAAATTTAAACATCAAATGTGATTAACAACATTATGTACAATCTTTTGTAACCATATGTATTTTAAAGGGTTTTTACCCTGATATTTTGGTGGCTCAGGCATGTTAAATTGTAAGTATAACCCTTTTTGCTCTTTTTTAAACCTTAGTCAAAATTTTAAACCACGTTTGCTTTAACTAAACGGTTTATACTTATTTTAGGCATTTTAAAACCTGATGATGGAATTATTATTCCGAAAACGTTCGTGTAATTGATGTAGCCCTTTTAAGGGTTTTTTTAAATATACCCATTTACAAAGATCTAACCTCTTTTTTTTATTTTAGAATTCTATAAATTCCTAGTTGTGTCTCACATCCTAGTTTCCACCGCTTTCTATCTCGCCAGTCATCATCCTGAGATGCCTTTCGGTCATAGCTTATCTGATACCCTCCTGCCATATATTTCTCGGGAGTCCTCTTCTCTGTACTGATCTCCACTTCTTAATTTTCTTTGGCCACCTTTCTTCATTTATACGTCTCACATGTCCGTATCATCTCAAACTCTTGGCTTCAATTATTTGGCATTCTTTTCCGCATCTCGTCATTTCTTATTTTGTCTTGAAGTGTTAGCCTACAACAACGTCTCCAAAACCCCATTTCCAATAACAATAGCGTCTTTTTGGTTTGTTTGTGTCCTCTATTTGTGGTTTTTCCTTATTTATCAGTTTCATTAGGAATACTTTCGCATTATCTACCCTTAGCTAAGTTGATCTATTTTCTAGTTCTGTGGAATTTTTAGCAGCTTATGATTTTATCTACAGTATGTTGCAGGCTTAGCTTTTACGTTTCTTACTGCGGTTTTCCATCCTTTCTGCAGGAGTATGTAATCGATTTGATTTTTGTCTTCTTTTTTGGACTACTTCACAATGATAGCCTTCTTGGGAGGTGTTTATAAAGTGTATTTGTGATTACTAAATTGTTTTTATTTGTAAACTATAGGTTCTCTTCTATTGTTTCTAATGCCCAAGCCAAATGACAGTTTAGTCTTTGGCTTGGATAAATTTCACTTCTACGTTTATATAAAACTAAGATGCTAAGAGTGTGGCATTATAAGAACAAAGTTTTCTTAAAATTGGTGCAAACTAATTCAATTTTCTGAAATTCCAATATCCAGATTTACATTAAATATTATTGTGATTTATTTTTATTAATTTTAAAGACGATATGTATACTGCTGCTATTTATTATGTGTTTCGCATGCTGCGTGTTTTTTAAATAGTACTAAGTTTCAATTATTATTATCTTTAACATTACTAAAATTCTTTTGTCAAACAAATTGCAAAAAGTTTTTTCGTAAAATTATATCTTTAAAATTAAAAATGTATGAAACCACATATTTCTTCAGTGTTTTATAAATTTACGAAAACTTTTCGCAAGATACACCCCTATACCATCCCAAACCGTTTTAACCGACTCTCAGAGACTAACAACGACACCCATCCAGTTACAGGAAAGAAAAGCACCAACGGCGTAGCCAGAAATAACTCAAGGTACGCCAAAAACAATTCAATAACGCGCAGCAGATCTAGCACCGTTTTAAATCAATCCGATTCGGATCCAGATGCTCAAGAGAAGAAAGTTTCCAGATTAATGAGACCTACCATTAGCTCTCATAACAAGATCAGCAATAAGTCTTTGCAAAGTCGAAAGAAACACTCTTATTCTGCAAGTAAGTAGTAACAATAGTGAATATCTTTTAATGGAGGAAGAACTCTTTAATCAGAAGTTTTGGGATATTCTGCCACAAAATTAAATATCTCTGGAAAATTACTGAATGCTAGGTATCTACTTCAATATCATATGGTTTGATTCTTTCGATTTCATTTCATTCTGGTCAATTTCACGCTTGGGTGCAACACTCCATCTACACTTATGCTTGGGTTGGCATTGCCTTTTGTCTAACGGGCTGTGATATGTACTTTATGATAATAGATGGGCAGATATAAATGGAATCTAAAATATTACCTGATATTGATAAAATTACTTATTTTCCAGCTATATGTTAGTGTTCCGTGACGTACTAAATTCGTTGTAGATATTAGATTGTTAATACAGGGGTCAAGGGGAGCTTTTTTTGGTTCAAGGCCTTGTTCAACAGGTACTTTATTCAACGCAACGCCTACATTCGCTGACTTGACCTTTTTCCCTCCTTGCTAAGCTTCATCGCAGTTTTGCTGACTACTTTTTAATAGTTCCTCTTCATCTTCGGAAATATAACCTGCAAAGAGATTAAGTTCTTTAGTTTCACAATGATTGAGGCTGCTTTTATATTTCCAGTCCAATCTTGTGCTACGAAAAGCTAGGGAATGGATGAGCTAGGCAGAGACTAGAATACTGGAAAAAAGCTGATAATCCTGTGTCGCGTGATACCAACTATCCTTAAATTCCACTGGATCGTGCTCACTTCACATAATTAGCGATCACAAGCCTTCACCACGACAAAGTTTCACAGCACTCCTAAATGTGCTGAAGCTTTGAAACATGCGGCTAGAGTAAAACTTGTTAATCTTTTTCTCTTCTTCTTCAGCTTTAAGTAATCCAACTTTGGACATAGGCCTCCCCCAAATCAATCCAGTGTCTTCTATTTGGCGCCACGTGTCTTGCAAAGCTCCATTTTAATTTGGTAGCATGTTCTCCTGCGTTTTTTACTTTCGTTTTGCTTCTAATCCATTTGTTGGTTTTTTTGTCTATAAGTCTCACCCTGAGCATTGATCTTTCCATCGCTCTTTGTGTTTTTACTATTTTATCCATGTTAGACTTGATGAGTGTCCACGTCTGTGAGCCAAACGTGAGTATGGGGAGGATACACTGATTGTAAATTCTGGTTTTCAAATACTGTTCTATTTTAGTGCTTTTCAAGATCCAATTCAGTTTTCCAAATCCTGCCTACGCTAATTTTATTCACCTGGTAATTTCGGCAGTTTGATTTTCTTTGTTAACTTTCATTATCTGTCTCAGGTAGATGTATTCGCTTATTCTTTCGAAATTTATGCCGTTCAACGTTATTTTTCTAATGTTCGGTGTATTTGTCATTATTTTTGTTTTTTCCAAGTTCATCTTAAGACCTACTTTTTCCGAAGCTTGAAATAGTTGCGTCATCATGATCTGTAGTTCTTCGAAACCTGTAGCGAATATTACAATGTCATCAGCGTATCTTAAATGACTCAGTTTTCTTCCATTAACATTTATTCCCTTATCTGTCCAGTTAATGTCTTTGACCACGTCTTCTTTAAGAATTTTAAGCCACGTTTGACCACGTCTTCTTTAATTTTATATTGATGGTGAAATCACATTGAAAAATATAATTTTGAAAACATGATGTGGATGGAGTCAAGGATCATGGTAGCTGCCTAGTCCAATTTTGTCAAAAAGAAAATTTTGCTGCAATAAAGTCATTTTTTAAATTATCATCTAGAGCTCTATATATGGATTTCTAAAGCCTACTTTTTAATAAGTAAATTCTAAAGAGCGTTAAAGTTCTAGAGTAAACAATTCTAGAGAGGTGTTGATTGGCACTATCCCCTTCACAAATAATTTAACCAAACAAATTTGACAGCTGTCATTTACTTCAATGAACAATAAAAAACAATTAAAGAACGTTTAATTTATTTAAGATAATGGTTAGCTTCCAGTATAAACGGAAGTGTTAGAAAGTTCAAGATATTTCAGATTTCAAGTGCAGGTCAAAAAACATAACATAATTTTGTGAAAACAGTAGACTGAAAGTACATAATATAATCTTTACTATGCAATAGTGTGCACTATCGATGAATAGAGAGTAACTAAAAACATTCGTTTATATTGAAAATTATACAAAAAATTTGATTAATTTTGATTTAAGTTTTAGAGGGGTAATGTTTTAAAAAATTATTCAATATTCTGCACTTACTTTTATCTGGCATATTCATAACTGCCATTATTACAAAAATCAACTGAGTTAAAAAATAAAGAAATCGCAAATCATACAAAAAAGTGTAGTAAAATCTTCAAACTAAATACAACCAAAACGTGTGAGGAAGTGACAGCTGTTTTGGGTGTTTTTTCGGTTAGGTTATTAAGGGAGGAGATATTACTAGATGACGTCACATATAAATATTTGCTTTGGAAACAAGAATCGGTCTGAAATGCTAGTTTTTAAAATTTTTGTTTTGGCCAGCTTTTTATGTAAAATACCACTCTGTGCATCGTCGTGACGTTGCAGAATGTAAAGGATCACCTTACTGGCGTTTGATATTAAATCTAGATGTCAACAGTTGTTACAATAATTATTTGTTGGATCTTGGATGTAGATGTATGATTATGGTCTTTCTCCAATCCCCAGATCAGACGCCTGTGTGCCAGATTTCATTACACAATCAATGTAATATTCTCACTAAATATATCGGAAGATGCTTTAAGACACCAGTGGTAATAAAATCATAGTCTGCTGCTTTGTTTAACTTAAGTCTTTTTAGAGTAAATTCAACCTCAGAAACAAGTATGTCAGGTTCAGATTCAAAAACTGTCTTGTCGGCGTCTGCCAAAGGAGTCTGATGTGTCCCTGTTAAAGAAGAGTGGCAAGTGGAGGCCTGAGATTCAGGTACTACACACGCGATGTCCGCGGGCATCTGATCAGTATCGGCGTATAAAGACTCACAATACACCTTACAAACATCTATAACCTTGTTCAAATGTGCGTTTATCATTTTTGACAGACCAAGATTTCCGCTTGAATTTTTTTTCTGACTTTATCGAAGAGTTCTTTGGTGTTATTTGTGTCGGCATGTTGTTGAATCTCTCTGCAAATTTTCTCCATATGCTTATTCTTCTCTAATCTACAAGTAGCCTGAATAGCTCTAGATAGCTGTTGGTGCTGGGAATGCCAATTCCAGCAATTTTGAGTTTTCTGCGTTCTTCCAAAAGATCAAAAGTATCTACAGACATCCATATTTTTTTGGTCCGGTTGAGTCGATATTAGACTGTGACTCGTATTCAGTCAAGATCTGTTTGAAGATATTTTTAAAAGATAGCCAAATATTTTCCATTTATGAGTGTCCATGGTTGGTAAAATATTTTCCAGTCTTTCATTACATTGGCTTTTACTTTGTTGTGTATCTTTTATTTGTGACAACCTCTTGTTTCGGACTCTAGCACACGCTTTGAATTTTTGCTTTAGAGCCGCACTCACCGTCAGGTCGTGTTTTTTTTTTTCATGGTATAATGATCTTAATAGTTCTAACTCTCTGCACCTTCACGTTACTTTGTATGAGCTCCGGATAAACATGACCGATATGCCCCGTTTCACAATATTTTTTGTAAGAGCACGAAAAACTCTTGCTTAATCTGCTGGACGCCCTTTTTGTAAGTCATCATCATCAGTGGTGCTACAGCTCTAGTTGAGCCTTGACCTTCCCCAGTCTATTTCGTCAGTCGTTTCTGTTCATCGCCAACCGTTGCCAATTTGCCACGCCGATTTTCCTTGCGTCCTCGTCCACACCGTCCCTCCATCTCAGTCGTGGTCTGCCTCTACTCCTATATCCCACTGGGAACGATAATAGAGTTCGTCTGGGTGGGTAATTTTCATTTGCTCCTGACACATGTCCAGTCCATCTAAGCCTACCTATTTTTATGAAGGATATTACATCTCTACCATTTACTATTTTTTTATACTTCTCGTACGATTCGAAATTATATCGCCTTCTCCAAATACCATTTTCACAGAATGCGCCCATTATTCTTCTTAGTATCTTCCTTTCGAAGACGAGCAGAAGATTTGCGTCTGTTTTGGAGATGGTCCATGTTTCTGACCCATATGTCAGCACTGGTAGGATGAGTGTTCGATATATTATTAGTTTGGTTTTCTGGCTTAAATTTCTGTTTTTTAGCTGCTTGCTTAGTCCAAAATAACATTTGTTTGCTAGCAGTACCCTCCGTTTAACTTCTTCAGATGTGTCATTATCGTTTGTTATGAGAGAACCCAAATATGTAAACTTATTTACTACCTCAAAATTATATTGGTCTATACTGAAGTTTTGTTCGGCGTTTCTAGCTCTATCTCTGTTATTTGGAATAGATGCTAACATTTTGGTTTTTTTCCTCGTTTATTTTAAGGCCCATATTTTGTGCGGCTGTCAAGAAGGTGGAAGTCATCTCTTTAAGTCCTCGTGTAGTACGTGCGATTAAATCCAGATCGTCAGCGTAAGCCATAATCTGCGTTGATTTATTAAAGATTGTTCCCCTATTGTGTAACTCGGCATCTCTTATATAGTCTTTTCTAACGCTATATTAAAGAGAAGGCACGCCAGCGCGTCTCCCTGCCGTAACCCTGCATATGTTTGTTTTATCATGGTATAATGATCTTAATAGTTCTAACTCTCTGCGCCTTCACGTTACTTTGTATGAGCTCCGGATAAACATGACCGATATGCCCCGTTTCACGATATTTTTTGTAAGACCACGAAAACTCTTGCTTAATCTGCTGGTCGCCCTTTTTGTAAGTAGGTTATAGTTTTTGGGGGCTCTCGTTCTTTTTTTTTATTGGCGTGATCCATTTTGGTTTCATGAATGTGGGAGAATTAAAGGTTTGTATCTACAAGGCTCCTAATGTAGGTATAAGACTTTATACTATGAAACGAGGTACAGCGCGGTTTCTCCAATAGACCGTATGTGATAATTATTTTTACAAACAGACCTTGCATGTTCCCCTTGCAGTAGTCTGGCTCAACCTCATTACCACGTTAAGGTAGAACAATACGATATAGTGTCCATAGTCTCCATAGGGTCTCTTAAAAACTAAAAAAATTTCTAATAGTCCAGGCTGTGAGGCCGCTCCCGTTGGGAAAATGTTTCTGATTCGGTTTCTTCGCGGATTCCGGTTCAAAAATGTCCCCTTTAAACAAATCTGAAGGGTGCCGGGTGAAATTTTTGGGCAGAAATTGTTTAAACAATTTTTTTTAAACAAATTCCCAAAATATTTTTTTTAATCTGGAAACCGTTTTTATAGGTTTTTTGGATCATTTTAAACAAAAAAGGTCTCTTGTCATTTTTCTCTAAAGTTGATAGTTTTCGAGTTATAAGCGATTTAAAGTCTGAAAAACGCGAAAATACGCATTTTTGAGGCTTGAAAACACATACGTAAATTATTATTTTTAAGGTTACCAAGTGTCTAAATTGAAGTTTAAACATTCAACTTCAAGATTGTGAAGAGTAATCGGGGCTTATTTTAATTTAGACCGTTGTTTTTTAATTGTTAAATATGCGCGTACACTCGATTTTTCAGCCGCAGCGGCGCGGCGCGCTAGAGTGCGCTTCTATCGTACTTATGCATAGTTTACATATACACTTACGCAAAAAAAACCGAACAAATCCTTGAAGTTTATTAACATAGTTTTTTCCATAATTTATTTATGTAGGTATTAATTATTGTCATTGGGCTAATTAAATAAATCAATCATCGCAATGTAATAACCGTATATAGTTTTTTTTCTTCCAAATTTGAACAATATAATTATTATTTATTGAGTATATATTTATTTATATCAATTGTAAATAATATTTTTAAATTATTATTTAAATATTACAATGCAGTAAATATTAATATTAGTAAACTTAATTTTAAATTGCGCGGTGTTTAAAAACAATATACTATCGCAAAAATGCAAGTTTTTACCTGTTTAACAATCGCGCGCTCATACTTGATTTGTTATTACTTAAACGATCATTAGGAAGACTATTGTTTAATGCCCATTAAAAGGGTATTATATTATTAATGTGTTATTAAAAAAATTGTGAATGGATTTAAAATGTCTTTTTCCGTACCTCTTCTTAAATGAAAACTTACCGAAGAAAATTTAGTTTGTATTTTTTGTAATAACATCAACAATATTAAGTTAGTGCAAAAACCTAAAGTAGATTTTTACATAACAATACAAAATGCTGCTCTTCGACGAAAAGACAGTGTGACTGAAAAATTTAATTTAATCTAGCCAATATACCTTGTACCTCTTACGCACTTTACCAACACTTGTTAAGAGCTTTCGCTAAAACATATATTTGGCGAAATGCCAAATATTCCCGCTATCAAACTCTCGATTTTACACAATATGGATATTATATGTCTGATAGTGGTGGGTTGGGAAACCGTGCAAATGCAAAAAGACTTGCAAAACTAATGCTTGCAACTGCAAGAAAAATCATGTCAACTATGTACCATTATGTGGATTGATTTAGATTTTTGTGAAAACAAAGATACTTTTACTGAGTGATATTAGTGTGTTATTTAAAAATTTTTTTTACAATTATTTTATGTAACTATTATTAGACTTTATATATAATAAATAATAATTATTTGTAAGTATATGTAAACTATGCATAAGTACGATAGAGGCGCACGGTAGCGCGCGGCGCCTCGGCGGCTCAAAAATCGAGTGTACGCGCATACTTAACAATTAAAAAACAACGGTCTAAATTAAAATAAGTTCCGATTACTCTTCACAATCTTGAAGTTGAATGTTTAAACTTTAATTTAGACACTTGGTAATCTCAAAAATAATAATTTACATGTTTTTTCAAGCCTCAAAAATGCGTATTTTCGCGTTTTTTAGACTTTAAATCGCTTATAACTCGAAAACTATCAACTTTAGAGAAAAATGACAAGAGACTTTTTTTTGTTTCAAATGGCCCAAAAAACCTAAAAAAAACCTTTTCCAGATTAAAAAAAAAATTATTTTTGGACTTTGTTTAAAAAAATTATTTAAACAATTTCTGCCCAAAAATTTCGCCCGGCACCCTTCAGATTTGTTTAAAGGGGACATTTTTGAACCGGAATCCGCGAAGAAACCGAATCAGAAACATTTTCCCAACGGGAGCGGCCTCACAGCCTGGACTATAAGGTATAGTACTGTTTTATGTATTTTGTCAAAATGTACAGAAGTTGTACTATCCAAATGAATATTTGGTCAACAAGTAAGCCAACGTGAAAAAACAGTAATAAGTTAGACCGACAAGCTTTAACTTAAACGCCGTGTTTTATAAGAACCTCTTTTTTACGCATAAAATAACTAACTTCGTTCAATGTATTCTTTCAATCTCTGCTTTCGTGCTTTAAAGCGTTAAAATATATAAACAATTTGCTTTTAGGTAATCTAATAACAGTGGGCGTTACTGATAACATATCAACTTCAGACGAAGACTCCCCCACTGCCCCTCCACGAAGTAGGACTATAAATTTCGAAAATGGTCCAACCGTTACCCCCAGAAGGCATTTAAATAACAAAGAGAAGAACAGGAGTAAGTCCAAATCTTTGGAAACGAGTTTTGGTAGCTTTGGTTTTGAATAACAATGTCGGGGATATGGTTTATATAATAAATGTAGCAAGTAACTAAGGGAATGGCCCACACCACAGGAAAATTAGAAGTGTCAGGATGTTTTCTTTTCGAAGCTTGTATTTCTTGAACACGTTTCTTATACCTGCTTTTTTTGCTTTCGGGTTTTACGCGTAGTGATCATTTTATATTATAACTGACACTTCTATTTATCCCATGGGGTCTGTATTTGTTTGATAATTTTAATGTTTGTGGGTAAAAGTTGTGATATGTTGATTTTAATTTTAATGTTTTGTGTAATCGTAAGAAATGTTGTATAAAACACGCACGGCAATGCCACATTACACTTCATAAAATTTTGTTATTGTTTGTGCCAAATATACTCTAATTTTGTTTTGTGCCGGTTAATATTTTATTAAAATCGTAGTTGTACCACAAATTTACTGTTTTTAATTTAAATTGTTCAAAAGTAGACATATTTATGAAACATTTTTATTATTTAAAATTGTTCATTTACTATTTTTTATCCATTTTTATAAATGAGGCTGTAATTGCCTTTCCTCACAGTTTGACAAGTTTCTCTTATATTTTCATTTTATTTTCTGTATTATAAGTGTTTTATAATTAGGAAGATGAACTTTGGTACATCTACAGCACCAATCAGTTTTTAGATATTTCCCGAAATGTCAGTCCAAAATATTTAATCTTGTGAAAGAATTTAATAATACGACAGAAGATGGATTGAGATAAATGAACCATTTCTAAACTAAAGAGATAACTGTTTTAAAACTGTTTTCTAGTGGGTAAATGTAAATCACATTGATATGACAGATGGCAAGTGACAAGTTATGTTAGTTACAAATACAAAAAGAAAAATCTAGTAGTTTGGGAAAAGGGGGGTTGTACAAAAGAAATGGTGGGTAAAGGTTTCGTAGGTAATTCAACGACGTCATCATACGGAGCTTAACAGTAGAAGATATCTTAAAACTTATTTTAAGATGTACAACAAAGAAGAATACATTAATTATAGCTATCAAACATATCTGTTTAACAGCTGCCTTCCTATTAATTTGACCAGAAAATTATAGATGAACCAGTCAAATAGGAAAATTAAAAAATTGATCAATGAGAATGTCAAAATCAGTGAGTTGCATTCATTATAGAACAGAGGGTAATAATTTTATTGTATTATAGTATATGTACAGCTTCATAATGAATCTCAAATGTATATATAAGTGTTTCATTACATTTATTTATTTTTAAATCACTCTCTTGAAGGTAGGGATGTCCTCTTCTTTCTACGTAACAATTTTGTGTTCTTATCATATTATGATATGTTTCGACCTATATTAGGGATCATTGGCTAGTTAGAAGACAAATTCGGAGACATAGGTAGGTCTCTTAACCAAATTTCCCACTGCGGACTGGACACGATACATATGCGCCATCTACATTAGATGCCAGAAAATTAAAACCACTGTGCATTTGAACTACAACGGTTAAAATATTTTAAGGACGTCCATTTTCTGCTCCTTTTTATGTAGACATGACTCTATCAATGTGTCTGTTTTTCAATGTGCCTATAGTAACTTGTCGTCCCATCGTTTCCGTGGTCTTCCTACTGATCTGCCTATTGGGGAACCATCTCTTGCCATCTTTACTACTCTAGTTTTTGTCATTCCGCTTATGTAATCGTTCCATTCTATTCTTCTATTTTGTACCCAGTTCTTGATGTTCTCCACCTTGCATTTACGTCATATATCTGTACTTCTAGCCCCGTCCCATATTATCTTACAATCCATTTTTTAAAGGGTTTTTCTCTCTGCTGTTTTGAACATCTTTTTTGTCCTCTCTGTCAGGTCGTGTTTCTGCCGCCTATGTCATTATTGGTCTGATGACCGTTTTGTAAATTCTGCATTTCATTTCTATCCCGATATTGTTATTTCTCCATATTGTTTCATTCAGGCTGCCTGTGGCTATGTTTGCTCTATTCACTTGATCTTCCACTTCAGTTTAGAGCTTTCCATAGCTAGATAATGCGATGTCTAGATATTTAAACTCCATCACTTGTTCTTATCTCTGACCTTCCAGCTACAAGTTACATCTTAGTAAATTTGTTATTATAATCATGCATTTTGTCTTTTTGGGGAAATTAACATTTTAAATTTTCTGCCGGTTTTATTAAATGGGTGCAGCGTACGTTGTAAATCGTCTTCACTTGAGAGAGTAGTATTGCGTCATCTGCATAGCAGATTATTTTATGTTGTTTTTCTGCCATTTGGTATCATATGTTGAAGAATAGAGGACTCAGGGAATCTCCCTGTCTTGTCCCATTGCCAGCTTCGATACGGTTAGAACTTCTACTTTTACTTTTATTGTGTTGTTTTGGTATATATTTAGATCGTTTTTTCTGGGTCCGATTTGTCTCCCTTTTTGAAGAGAGGTATCCATTCTTGAGGAATTCTGTTTTGTTCTATTATTTTTCGGATTAGTTGTAATAGTTGTTTGGTCAGATCTGGTCCTTCGTACTATAGGAGTTCGTTCGGTATTCTGTCCTCTCCTGGTGATTTTCTATTTTTTAATTTCCTTAATGCTTTCCTTAACATCCTCTCTCCAGAAATAAATTACTGTAATTAGATGGAAAAATCTCCTGTATCTTGGAGGTAGAATAGTCTCTATTTTCTGCTACCCAAAAATTAGATGGCGCCTACATATCGTCCCCACTCCTTAGAGAAAATTTTGTTCAAGAGCTGTTCCTTTCTCTCCATAATCTTATCTTCCATTTACCACTATCTAATGAGCCTCAATATAGAATTATACATCATCATAGTGTGTCCTGAATCATACTGTGACCGTAGCACAATCTTAAATAGAATGGATGGAGCATTCATGCCTTTTAATGCTTAATATGTCGATCTCTTTACCGCAAATTACAGAAAATATTGGTATATAGAGATATTTCAAATCTTTTCAATAATTTGTATTTCCATTCTGCATAAAAATGGACGAAAAAAGCATAGTAGATAATTAAAAAAATAACTAAAAAAGAAATTATAAATAGTTTAAAAAATTATCTAAATAATAATCAAGGGTAAGTAATTTAATGGTTTTATCTTTCAAACGAAGCTAAAACCAGTAAAATACTCCTTAAAATAACCGCTTTCCCATTTAGCTTGGTTCACTCGCTTAAAACACATTGTTTGCTTTCGTAGTATTAAGTCAAACCATAAGCTTGTCGTTACTGTAACTGGCACTGTATTTTTTTGTAGCTGCAAGGCATACTATTCACTTCGACGAACTCTTAGCAAACGACGACTTTGAGTCAAACGAAAGCTATTCATCGGTGGAGAGTAAGTTGGTTTAATCACTGCATGCTAATATCATTTAGTAGATTACTTAAATATACTGACGTCATGTAGTTGAAAGTGTAAAAATAGTTAGAATTTTTAACAAAGTTTAAAACAGATTTCATGAGATTTTTGGTATGTATCTTAAGCCTCGGTTGATAAAGTTATCTAAATCAAGGAATACAATTCAATTGCTGATTTTCTCTTGTGACGTCACGTCTTATATATTTGCTTTCTTTCATTAGGTAATTTGCGAATATTATCTCATCTGTATTATCAAAACATTCTCTGGCTGTTAAGACTTCTGTCATTCCTCTTGTTCCCCTGTAGCTCTTGGTTAACTTTGTTATACTCAACGTGTGCTATAATTATTACAGTATACAAAGAGCCAAAATTTTGAATTCGTACAGGATACTAGTAAGAAAATTCAATAACTTGTTTGTCTTATTCTTGTCCTTCTCTCTCTCTTAAATTTCTTATACAGGACATTTTTCTGGAAAGTCCGGATTAATTCGTCCTTCATTCTTTTTCTTCATTATATTTTCTATAATAAGTATCACTTTGCACTTTTTGTCCAGCTGACGTAATACTTCTTCATTTGTTTTTCCCAACAGTTCTTCTTCTTCTTGTGGTGCTTATCAGTTACGGATGTTGGCAACTAGCATGGCAATTCTAACTTTATTGACCGCAGCTCGAAATAGTCCTGAAGTGGTCAAGGAAAACCATTTTCGTAAATTCGCGAGTCATGATATTCTTCTTCTTCCTGGTCCCCTCTTTCCGTAGACCTTTCCCTGTATTATAAGTTGCAGCAGGTTATATCTATGGTCGTTTCGCATTATATGTCCAAGATATTCTAGCTTGCGCTATTTTACTGTGGATATAATTTCACATGTCACCCAACAGTTAACCCAACTTATACTTAATATTCATCGATAGCTAAATCTCTATCTTTAAACTCTTAATATCTTTTCATAGAATAAAGTACTAAACACATATGATCTTAAGTATTATATTTATATGGGCCCCAATTGATTCTAACGAAAATTATATTTTAACTCCTGTTTATGGTTTCGTTTTCCATTGCTGAAATCGTTCTCAAAAAAAGATTATTTTAAAAATTCTGCGAAAACTGTATAACCAACAAGTTATTAGCAGGTTATGTTTTTTTTTAATTGATGGTTGACTTACTAGGCCTCGATCTCATAGGCAATAATCTGCTTTTAGTTGAAAAAAATCTGAGAGGGGTATCTATGCCCAATCAAAATTTTGATTTTGACTATTTTGTGTGTTTTTGTATTATTTGTTTGTGTGATATGTGTTTGGGTATTATATGCTTGTGTATTGTTTGTTGACTTCTTCTTTTAGTATTGGTAACCAAAGCCAAAAAGGCTAGTTTAAGAAACCTCAATAAAGAAATAAAACGAAGATGTAAGGCCGACAAAAAACAGTACTATCAAAGTATATGCAAAGAAATTGAGGGTTAGAATAATCAGCCGAGAGATCTATTTAGAAAAATACGCTACCTGACAAGAGACTTCAGAGCCAGAACTTGGGCCATTGAAGATAACACTGGAACCCTGAGAACAAACAGAGAAGACATAGCAGAGACATGAAGATCGTATTGCAGGGACCTATAAAAAGATGATCAACGCCAAGAGCTTGTTAGCCAAATCTCTGACGAGGTGGAAGAAGAACCTGATATACTCGAAAATGAAGTAAGACTAATAAGAGGCTATCAACAAGCTCAAATATAACAAAGCACCAGGTCTAGATATGATAACAGCAGAAATGCTTAAAGCCACAGAAGAAACCGGCGTAAAGTTACTTCATCTACTCTGTAACCAAATATGGCATTCCAAACAATGGCCTGAAGACTGGACAAAATCTACAATAACGACCATACATAAAAAAAGGCAGCTTCCATAAATGCGACAATTATAGAACTATCTCTCTTATATCCCATGCCAGCAAGATAATGCTACATATAATCAATGAGAGACTGAAAACATTCCTTCAAAGAGCAAACTGGATTTACCAAACGTAGAGGCACTCGAGAACACCTGCTGAATATAAGACAGATAATCGAGAAATCTAGGGAATTCAACATCCACTATACATCTGTTTTATAGATTACCCTAAAGCGTTCGACAGGGTCAAGTGGAGACACTTATGGCGAATACTAAAAGAAGTAGGCGTACCACAACATCTAATTACGCTTATAACTGAACTATATGAACGCACTACTGGATCAGTTAAAATACTGGACACACTTTCGAACGAGTTTCATCCAGAACGGGGTGTCAGACAAGGATGTATACTACCTCCACAATTATTCAACATATATGGAGAGTATATTATGCGAAGAGCACTTGAAGGATGGGAAAAGGGCATCTCAATAAATGGTCATAAACTAAACAACCTACGTTTCGCAGATGACACAGCCCTTCTTGCAAATAGTCAAGCAGAGCTGATGGAACTTATACGACTGATCGAAAACGAAAGTCAAATTTGGTCTGCAATTAAACATATCAAAGACAAAGATCGTGATAGTGGATAGACTACACAACAATCATCCACACATAACCACAATTGACCGGTTCGAGGTTGTGAGCTCATACTTATATCTGGGATCATTAATCACAAACAAGAAGAGATTAAACGTAGATGTGATCTAGCAAAAGTTGCCACAGCAAAAATGACCAAAATATGGAAGGAATGTCAAATTTCAAGAGCGATAAAGATGAGGTTGATGAACTGCTTAATATTCCCAATACTGATCTACGGATGTGAAAACATGGAAAGACTCATAATACAAGGAAAGGTAGAAGGCCGAAGATCACGAGGAAGGTCCCCAACAAGATACATATATGATATGACAAGAGGATAGATCAAATTACAGGAATATGCCAAAGACCTATGAATGAATTAAAAGAAATGACCAGAGACAGAGATCTCTGGAGACGGACAATACACGACATCACGTCGACCACTACACTCTCCCTGGGGGGTCAGGATTGAAGAGAGAGAGAACCAAAACCTTCTACATTCTGCTTATGGATTTACTACACATTTTTCTTCATTAAATAGGATGATAGCTTCACTCCAACAGAAGTCGATCATAGACTACATAATAATGAGACAGAAGTCAAAATTTAAGAGCCAAGACTGCAGAGTAAAAAGAGAATCTAACTGTGGGACATATCACTACTTTCTTTTAGCTAATCTTTTGTGTCCCTATAAACAATACTACAAACAGAACACCGAAAGTGGGAGAAACAATACTACACAGTATAAAACGAATAGATATAAATTGCACCTTTTATTTCAACTAAGTATTAAACGTCTTTTTCAATCTAGATTAGAAAAGGAACTAAATGAGATGGAAAGAAGTATGGATGTAGAACAAGAATACAACAACCTTAAAACGATAATAAAAAAAATTGCTTTTGAAGTATTAGGAACAACGACGAAAAACACCACGAACCACCATGGATGACAGAAAACGTAAAAGAAATGATACAAGAAAAAAAAACAAAATATATAAGAAATAGCTAACAAATTATACATCTAGTAATAGAGTAACATATCAAGGAAAAAAATTGAGAAGTACGCAAATAAAATAAAATAAGTTGAAGTTGAACATTCAGTTGGTGGTTCTCAGACTACGAAAGCATGAAGAACTATCACTAATCGAAAGAAAAACACCCAACTCCTTAAGCAACTTAATTCCTAAAGAAAAGTGGGAAAATCACTATAAAAATGTACTCCAAGGCTCCAGATTGGAATATATGGGAGCGGAATACAGTATGGAGAGACAAACAAGTAGTAGCATTAATATATACTACTAACAACGAGGTCCGTACTGCGTTAATTAAAATGAAAAACGGACGATCTCAAGGACCTGGCAATATAATTGTAGAGTTACTTAAAGCAGGAGATCCACTCCTAAAGAGACGAATAACTTTTTTAATGAATCAATGCTGCCAACAAATTAAATTACCATCTGAATGGAACACCACTCACCAAGTGGTTATCTTTTTAAAGGGTAATCGAAAAGATCCTAACTGCTACAGAGGATTAGGTGTCCTACCTACCTACTTTCGAGAGATTGTATGAAAAGATAATAAATGGAAAAATGCAAGATGATGTAGGACATATAATTAGCGAAGACCAAAGTGGATTTACGCCTGGTGGATCTTGCACTGATAACTTGTTTATACTCCAACAATTAATAGAAAAAAGAATAGCGGTTGGTACCGAAGTAAATCTAGCCTTCATCGACCTAGAAAAGGCATATGATACAGTTCCAAGACTTAAATTGTGGCAAGCTTTACAACAACTCTGCATTAGTCAATACCGTTTACGAATAATCACAGAAGTATACAGGAATAACACTACTTACCTAAAAAATCGGAAATAGACTATCAGAGCCAATAAAAGTAACCAAAGGACTAAGACAAGGATGTAGTATGTTACCCTTACTGTTTAATTTATATATTGAGACAGCCCTCCAAAATTGGAAAAACCATTGCCAGATAATGGGAATTCCCATAAGAAATGACGTACTGTTTTCTCTGAACTTTAGAAAAACAAAAGTATTTAGTTATCAATTCAGATGCAAGGTTTGAAGTGTTGATAGACGAGGACGTGGAAATCAAACAAGTGGAAAATTTTAAATATTTATTGCACTCAGAACGGCTTGGGAGAAACCGAAATTAAATTGTAGGATGTCGAACTCCTTATGATGGGATCGCAACATTTCCAAATGGAACAAAAAAGGAATAGGGCAAACCATGGTTGAAGAAGAAATGAATGCTACTGAAACGGTAACTGACAGAATAGAAAGAAGAGGTTAAAATGGTTTGGACACCTATTGAGAATACCTGACGAACGTTGGCCCCAAAAACTTCACGGGTGAAGCCTCCGGGAAGAAGAAAAAGAGGTAGACCTCGACGCTTATGGAATGAAGGAATCAGAGAAAAATTCCTTGGAGAGCGATGGAATCGAGAAGTTTGGACCCTTATTTACACTCTTTGTTTATAACAGAATGTTTCTATTCTTCAATTGTGGCTTCTTTTCTTCTGCAAACCTTCAATATCTTTTATGTCATCTATACTTTGTTTTTGTTTTATGCTTTGGTTAGATATTTCTTGTCCACTGATTTTGCCGTTGTATTGATATACTTAAACTCTTCATCTATGCCAGTTATTGTTTGTTTGATCTTTTAAACTACTGAGATCTAATTATAGATGGCAACTGAATCCATTCAGACAAGGTCTGAGGGTTAACGCAACAACCCATATTGAGAATCTTACGTTGCCTTAAAGGGTATCTGTAAAATCCTTTAATATCACAACAAATTTTGTGTAACTTTTTAAGGGTTTTTACACATATATTTAGTACCTTGACTCATATATAACTGGTAATAATACCCTGGTGATGGACTTTTTGGTTCGAAAAACGTTCTGTGATGTAACCCAAAAGGGTCTTTTTACTTATATACCTTTTATAAACGATTTTTAAATAAAACTACAGGAATTTCATTTTCCTTGTGGATTTTATAAATGGTTGCAAGTTTAAAACATTTATATTAATTACGGTAATGATGTCAGATTTGTAGTTTCTACACCAGTATAGATACTTCTCCAAAGTAGTGTAGTAGCTCTAGTTATGTATCTATTATTTATAGTTAAATGCATATATTTTCATATTCATTGTCTTTTCAAATCACTTATTATCAATTTTTTAGTTTCGAATCAAGTTTGTGACGATCTCATAGATCAACTAACCTCCACGGCAGAAAAAGTCGTCAAACTCTACGACCGTCTTAGCGAAGCGGACGACGGCAATGAATCTCAAATAGACCGAATGGACAAAGTGAAAATGTCGATGATTCGCACCCATAAGATCCTCCACGATTGCATCCTCAAAGAATTGAAGCAAAACAACGGCAACACTGACGTCAACCAAACGGACACAGTGAAGAAACTCAACGACTTGGTGTCCAAGGGCCCCAGCGGTCCGAACAACGTCATCAACATCATGGAACAGTACTCGGATATCTTGCTAGATATGGTACAGCAGAAAATGCATAGCGCCAACATTTGACATCTGATGACTGTAAATTTTGAGTTGATTTGTTAACCTGTGATTATATACCTTAAATATTATATAGACCATGACGTCACTTTGTGACAAATCAGTTAACCAACATAATTTAATTTATTATAATTTAGCTCTAAAATAGCCTTTTTATACTTTCACTTATAAATCACTAATTTTGAAATCGATAACAATCACTTTCATATCTTATAATTATATATATTTAAAATCATTCATTTGTCAGTACACAGAACATGAATAACCCGGTAACATTGCTGATTTGACAGTTATGACGTCACGGTTTTTTAAATGTTTACCATATTTTAAACTTTTATCCTTGGGAATATCATAGTTATCTAGGTTGCGTCTATTGTTTTTGTTGGATGTTAACAAAATTGAGAGTAGGGTAATTTTTATATTAATGTTCAAAATATTTTAATGTTTTTAAACTAACGATGATAATCCTGGGATTGATCCGTATTTTATAGTTTCATGGAATTGTTTTTGTATTTTTATTGTTTTAAAGTTTCGAAAAAAGCATAAGCTTTTTTTAATTTGACGTTTCTTGAATTTTAATACTTTTTGTACAGTATAAAGCCAAAATCTCTTGCTCGGTATCTAGATAGCTTTGTTATTGTAATATTTAGAACACTTTTACATACATCGTTTCTAAAATGAATCAATCTAGATTTGGATAATGTCGTTTCTGCGTGGCCCATATCAAAGTTGACTATTGTGTTACATGAATTGTTCTACTAGAAACGAAATTATTTTAAAATATACTAAAAAAGTACGCTTTATTGTTTTAAATCAACTTGTTTGTTATAATACGTTTTACATTTAATTCAATAATAGTTCCATGAAACGTATTTTTGTAAAAATTTTAGTTAAAGCCCACATACATTTGTGTTTTTAGTGGCAAATACTAATTGATAGGTCGAGCACAAACGGGGCAACTGTTTCAACTGTCACTAGTTTTCAGTCACTAGAATCCACTAGTCAGTTGGATTCAATCAATTTATTTTTGTCCCCGGAAATCATGATTTAATTTTTGACTATCTTTTTGAAACACCCTGTATTCACGTGACCATCTCTAATCGTACACCATAATGTGTCAAACCTCAAACCACTTGACAGTTAAATTACTTGACGTGCACTGTCAAAGCTTTAAAAATCACACTGTCCGTCATTTATTGACCTTATGGCGTTGATTGAATAATCCAAATAGATGTGCAGCCGTACACAAATTAAACGTAGCAACTATTCTGTTCTCAAAAACCGTGGTCGCCATCTATGTTCGAGAGAGAAAACTACACTACGGTTCAACATAAAAGATTTCTTCTCTTCATATTACCTCCCCTTAATTCTCAACGTAAATATTGCTTCCCCACTTTAATTCCTAAATACAATCATACATTCAAACTGTGCATTTTGAAATTTGTATAACATTGTTCTGTAACTTTTTTCTACGAACTTTTAGGTAGATAAAATGGTACATTTTATAGGAAGAGAAGTCAATTACCGTTACGGTTGTATTCTATTGTACTAGGTTGTACGACTATTTTTAAGCAATTTATGGTTTTTCAGTTTATACTTTTAAAGATTCTTGATATTTTTTATGATTACTTTTTAAAATTCGCATTAAAACTTTTTTTCTGGTACCTTTGGGTATATACCTGACTCAAAATTTTTTATTCAGCAATGTATATAATATATATATATATATATATATATATATATATATATATATATAATATATATATATATATATATATATATATATATATATAAGAAATACTGGATATTAGTGACTGTCGATATAAACATATATTTAATATATATAATATATATATATATATATATATATATATATATATATATATAAATATATAATGTACTTGAAGGCACCAGAAAAAAAGTTATGAGAAATCTTCTTCTTACGGTGCCTATCCGTTCCGGATGTTGGCGATCAACATGGCTATCCTAACTTTGCTTGCTGCTATTCTGAATAGTCCGGTTGTCGATGTATTAAACCACTTTCTCAGGTTTTAAAGCCAAGATATTCTTCTTCTCCCTGGTCCTCTCTTTCCAAATACTTTGCCCTGAAGAATGAGTTGCAACAAGCCGTATCTCTGTTCATTCCTCATAACATGGCCAAGATATTCTAGTTTGCGCTCTTTGATGGTGTTAATAATCTCGCATTCCTTGCCTATTCTACGTAGGACGTTAACATTAGTCACACGATCCACCCATGAAATTCTTAAGATAGGTCTGTAACACATCTCGAATGCCTCGAGTTTTCTTAAGGAAGCTTCGGAAAGTGTCCAGGCCTCTACTCCGTATAATAAGGTAGAAAATACATAGCATCTAATGAGAGAGATTTTGGTAGCAAGCGGTAAATCGTGACTTCTGAAAAGAGACTTCATCATTATGAACGCTGATCTCGCTTTTTCCTATGCGTTGTTTATTTCACTGGAGTGATCCCATTAGCTGATAATGTTGGTACCAAGGTATGTGTAGCTGTCCACTCTGTCAATTGGATGTTGGTTAACCAAAAGCTGTGTATTTAATATTTCGCGCTTACTGACTACCATGTACTTTGTTTTCTTCGTATTAAGATCAAGTCCGTGTTCTCTACTTATATGTGATATATGCAAACATTATTCTTTGCAAACCGTCCAGACTATCTGCAAAAAACTACTGCGTCGTCGGCATATCTAATGTTGTTTAGAACGCATTCCGTTGACTAATACGCCTTCTTGTAGTTCTCCCAGCGCTTGCTCGAAGATATATTCAGAGTATATATTAAATAACACCGGGACAGAATGCATTCTTGTCTCACTCCTCTATCTATGGAGACTGCCTCTGCCAATTGATCATCCACTTTAATATTGGCTGTTTGTAAGTTTATCATGTTTTACTCTATCAAATGCCTTTTTGTAGTCGATAAAAACAAATATACACATCGCAGTTAACATCCCTGCATCTTTGCATAAGCACTTGGACAGTGAATAGAACCTCTCGGGTGCCTAAGGAATTGCGGAATCCAAACTCACGTCCATGATACTTGTTCTTCGCATTTTTTATATATTCTGCCGTGTATCACTTTCAAGAACGTTTTAAGTAAGTGGCTCATTAGGCTAATTGTTCTGTAGTCTTCGCATGTCTTGGCATTTAATTTTTTTGATATGGTCACGAAGGTCGACTTTAACCAGCTTTGGGGTATTTTTCCAGTTACGTATATGTTGTTGAATACAGTTGATATCCATTTTATTCCCTGTTCATCCATAAGTTTAAGGAATTCTGCACAAAACTCATCAGCCCTACCGCTTTACCATCTTTAGTTCTTTTAATAGCTGACGTGACTTCTTCAATGGTAATCGAGGGTCCTGTTTGGCATTCAGTGTCTTCAATGGTAGTCTGCCTTTCATCTGCAAAGGTTACTTCCACATAATTCTTCCAAGTATCTAGTTTTTCTTCCACGGTTAACAGTTGTTTGCCTTGGTTATCTGCCAAACACCCAACTCTTCTAGGTTTGTATAAGCCTGCGGCTTCTTTAACTTTTTTGTGTATATTAAATGTATCGTGTTTATGTTGAAATTGCTGTATTTTCCGAACACTGTTTTCTTAGATGTGTATCCTTAGCTATTCTAATAGCTTTTTTGATCTTTTTATCGATTCTTTTGTATAATGACATGTCTTGATCTTTGAACTTTCGCCTCTCTTCCATCATATCTAGAATCTCATTTGTCATCCACGATTTCTTCTTTTTGGTGGTTTGAGAAATTTCTCTCGTATGTCTTTTGAAACTGTATGTAATTTTTCTAGCTCCTGGTCCATTACATCCGATTGAATAACGGTATTTAAAATTGTTCTTTATACTTATACCGCTTTACACTATGTTCTGTGTGTTGGTCTTTTAATAGCTTGATGTCCAATTTTGGATTGACACTACGTCTAACCCTCTTAAAGGTCGATTCAGACACATCAGTCCCGTCACAGTCTCGGCGCCGAACCGGTCCTGTTTGGTCACAGAACTATCAACTATCTGACAGCTGGCACACTGTTTGTCAACTGATGAATGTGAATGCCCGCATGCCGGCGCTATATTTCTATTAAAGAATATTTTGTATGACGGATTGTTCGTTCATCGCCAGGACTGTGACGAGACGTGACTGATGTGTCTGAATCGACCTTTAGCCTGAGCCTAATTTTGCCAATGAGTGGGTTATGGTCTGATATTGATATCAGCTCCTGGGTATGTCTTGACTGATGTTATGCTGTTCCGGAATCTTTTATTAATCATAATGTAATCTATTTGATTTCTCACTATGCGGCCTGGAGTATCTTGAGGTGATTTCCATGTGTATAATCTTCTGTGTGGGAGTTTGAAGTAAGTGTTAGTAATCACAAACTCTTCTGCTACAAATTCACCCAGTCGGTCTCCTCGCTCATTTCTTTCTCCAAGTCCAAATTGTCCTATGAATTCTCCCGATTGTCCCCTACCAATTTTGGCATTTAGATCACCCATAATCAAAGTTAAATCCTTTCCGGGGAGGCGTTTTAAGGTGTTCGTTAGTTCATTATAAAATGCTTTACTTATATCGTCCCGGTTTGTCAGCTGTAGGGCATATACCTGAATAATGTTAGATGTAATTGGGTAGGTATTAAGTTGAAGGAGGAGTATTCTTTCCGATATAGGTACAAAGTTTTTAACATGTCTGGCAGTTTCTTGATTTAAGATTATACCTACCCCATTTTCATGTCTTCCATTAGGGTTACCTGAGTAATAGATATGATGATCATTAATTTTACATTGCCCAGAGTTTGGCCATCTCATCTCACTAATTCCCATTATGTCTATTGATAGTCTATCCATCTCCTTGATTGCATTATGAGTCTTGCCTGCCTCATATAATGTTTTAACATTCCATGTGCAGATCGTGAGGTTTATTCTTTCCATTATAATGGCAAGGATTTCTTCTGCTGACGACCGAGAAGGCCTT